TTCATTTCATTTTGTCATTTGTTTCTTCGTCAGTTTCATTAGGTGACTTTAATAACACTTAAAAATCAAATATCCCCTACTTTTTTTGAATAGTATAATTTATGGACATTAAAATGTTTAATTTTTGTTATTTTAATTTTAACTGGAATCATTGGAAATGATTTACATGTATTTCCAAATGTTTTAGTGAAAAATATTTCACTATCATCTCTTGAAAAAGAAAATGATTTGTATGTACGTCTCCGGATGAATGGTCACATTCGCCCAATTATTTTAAAGTGAAATCGTCTTCACGAGAAAGTAAAACGCGCCAATGTGCCAATACATACATAAAGCGCCAATCTACTACTGTAAAGGTAATAGACATGAAAATATTATTCACACTAGAATACGGCATGGGTGTAGTTCGTTGCAAAATGATTTGTATGAAATAAACGTTGTAAATGATCCCACATGTTCTTGTGGCAAATTTATAGAAAATGCCGAACGTTATTTCCTGCAATGTCACTTATATGATGTAATTCGTGCTGAACTATTAAATACACTGTCAAGTTATTCTGTGATAAATATAGATATCCTATTGTGCGGCAATTCAGAATTGTCAATTGAGATGAATACAAACCTTTTCCTTGAAGTTCACAAATATATCAAACTTTCAAAACGATTTAAATAAAGTTATTGTTAGTAGTTACATCTTAGAATAAATTATTAGCTTTAGCTTTTTTGGTGGATAACATTTTTTTTATTTTTTTTTTTTTTCCCCGCACCCACCCCCCATTTTTTTTATGATTATTTTTTTTTTTTTTGGTCATTTTATACATGCATCATTTATTAAACTTTATTTTTCAATGTTTTAAATATAATTTTATATTCTCTTTATCACCTCTTCACTTATTTTATATAGAGCTTTGCGATATAATTCATCTGAATTTACTTATATTACTTATAAATTATTTATTATTGTATATACTATTTCGCAATCTTGTTTGTATTAAATAATGTCTATCATTTCTATATTTGTCAATAAAATAAGTTTAAACAAAAACTGGGCTAGTTTTAGTTATCAGAGTAATCTGCTAACTGGCGGGGGTAAGGAGGGTACAAACAGAATTCTGTCAACAAACTGACCAAGAAAATTATGTTTGTACCTGCTCAAAGGAATTCCTTAGAGTCATCCACTAATGTAGCTGGCACCATTTCCATCCCCGGTATCCCCAGTGGCGGGGATCACGGTGGCTAAGTGGGTAAGACGCTGGCTCGCTAGCCTGGAGGTCGGGTGTTCGATCCCTGCATTGGCCGAGAAAGTTCATCCAGATTTTCCGGCGTGGTTCTCCCTAGTCAGTGATGCAGGACACAGCTGTCTAGTCGTGCGGATGGGACGAAAAACCGAGGTCCCGTGTACACATTGACATGCACGTAAAAGATCCCTTAATAGTTGGAATTTGATATAGAGTAGGCCATAGTGCCGCTGTCCGGGTAAAATTTTCCTCATAGCACACTGTATGGCGTATGCCTGTCTTCATTAGCCCAGTTCGGAGCAGAACAGTAGGACGTTAAACCCCATTTCATTTCATTTCATCCCCAGTTGTCTCATTCCAGAGGATGCACCATTTCTAGTATTACGGTAGAAGGGACTAACAAGAAGATTTCCCGTGATTAGCTTAATTTATGCCCAGACTGTTTCAACTCCATTTAACACGAAGAGCATGTCTTGAAATAAAGTGTATGAAAGATCTAATGTACAGGCCCGGCGGAGTAGGGGGGCTGGGGGGGGGGGGTCTTTAGCCCCCCCCCCCCCAATATTTTGGCCGCAAGTACCCTTTTCTCCAGGTTGTTGCACGCAAGTAACTATTCTATTAATAACAAAAAGGCTTGAATTTAACATAGACGTAAGTAGAAGTGAGACTTCAAGAACGTAGACTTTCAGAAGAAGAAAACCCTGCTATGCTCTATACTGTTCCCAGTGTAATGAGACCCGCGGTTGCGAGGGTCGCGATTAGATAACTGAACGGTCGATCTTTATTTGAAGTCCATCTCATGTCTTTTGTATCTATGACATAATTAGGTAATAAGAAAAACGACGGGATAGAGTTTTATTTATACTTTCCTTGTGCCCCTTATCCATCAAATAATTCACTGCTATAGCCAGTTGAAACAAGCGGTTGCCATGCAAGATATGCCCACATTTTGTAAGAAATGGACGGGGAAGAGGTAAAATCAAAAGGGTTATCCCATCATTCAAGATCATTTGATTCTTAACATACTTAAGATACATCAGAATGGGACAATGGTAGTCCCCCCCCCCCCACCTGGGGTGCCTACATATTTCAGATTTTGCGTGAAAAGCAGGGGCTATAGCTCTAGAATGTAAGGTCTGATACTACCAAAGTCGAACTGATCCAAGAACGTTTGATCTTTAACACACAGTTGACGTTCATAGTGTAGTGAAAGGTACACAAGCTTCATTCATATTTAACATTTTGTGTAAAAGGCAGGGGCAGATGCGCAAGCAAGTGGAACCCGTCCATGAACTAGCGATACTTTTTTTTTAATAGATGGTCCACAACCTGGGTATTACATGATTTTATTATACTATTTTCGAAAAGGGGAGTGGCTATTTGACGGGGAGTTTTGGTCCGATTTTGCAGAAATAATTATAGTGTAACGGTGATATATTTGAACAGTTTTGAAAATAAGATACAAATTATGACCTTTAGAGGGCCCGTAAGCTGAAAACATGATATTTCCTACAATCAGGGGATCAGAATCCAGAAAGTTACGGTCCAATACGAGCCAATATCGAAGAAACCCAGATCTTTGGGATATAAATATATATTTTAACTTTCATCAAAATTGGATATAAAATTCGAACCGCTGGATGGTCTACAACCTGGGTATTACGATCAGATCCTAATGTTAAAGCTACTGACAGATTTCGTCAAGGTCACGAAATGTAAACAGGGTTAGGGCAAGTGATTGTTGCAGAGGATTGTGAGTTAGGGTAAGGGCTAGATCTTTGGTTAGGGTTTGCGCTAGCCTTGTTTACATCTCGTTACATTGGCGAAATCTGGAGGTGGCCTTAATATTTAGACTAAACTGAATATTGTATGCTTTTAGGAGAGCGGCCATTTTGTCGGGCAGCTCGGACTCATTTTCAGGAAATGTGAACTCAACCGTAATTATGGTGTAACGGTGAAATATTCGAATGCCTTTTAAATCGAATAAAATTTGTAACCTCTAGAGTCCGCAAGCTAGAAACGCGATTTTTCGTACAATCAGGGGCTATAATCCAGAAAGTTACAATCAGATATGCGCAAATATGGAAAGGAACCAAACATGCATTTCAAGTTTCATCAAAATTGGATGAAAATTGTGACCTCTAGCGTGTTCATTAGCTAAAAATGTCATTTTTCGTAGAATCAGAGTTCATAATCCATGACGTTACGGTCCAATACATGCCAATTTCGAAAGAAACCAAGATCTTTGGGAGATAGACCTATATTTCAAGTCTCGTCAATTTCGGATCAAAAAATTTGACCTGCTATAATTGAATGTTTTTTTACAATCAAATAAAAACTGTTACTTCTACTGGGTCCACGGTTCGTGAAGTCAGGGGTCATAATCCGAGATCTTTCGGTAATAAACGTACATTGTAAGTTTCGTTATGCATTATGCATATATTTATAATTTGTCAAGTTCAGCATCACGGGATTAAACCACCATAGATTGTGTTTTTATGGTAAGGGAGTTAAAAATGAAATAAAATTTCACTTCATTGCTGAGTAATTTTATTAGCCAGAAATCGCTTAGAAAGCGTCTCCGAAGATCTAGACCCCAAGAGCTTCCCGGGCCTAGGCGGCCCTGGACCCTCGCCTACGGACCTAGGATGTTAGCCCCCCCCCCTCCAATCAAGAACAGCTTCCGCCGGCCCTGATGTAAATTGAGATTCCACCATAACCGCCATCCCTATTTAGAGGTGGCTCTTGCAAAGTTGCAATGATACATTTATTCGTCTTATAAGATTTTAAGTCATGTTCCTGGTCGAAGTATTGATGACGACAACATATTAAAATTCAACCGGGAGATTGTCAACTATATTTTCAAGACTACGAATATTCAGGTCAGTAATGTAATGTTAGTTGTTCTTGTGTTCAGGTGGACCTCACGGAATAAGTCAGATGAGAAGTGGAGAAAAAGAGTGTGCGCACGCCCAAGGTGTTCAAATCAACCCTGCAATTGACGTAAAGCATTCGGTGAAATTTTACCGTTCTGGTGACGTATAGTCCTATAATGAAGCATGAGCGAATATTGATTACTCTTACACTTGTTATTTTCTCACAAATAAAAGTTTAGTGGGACACTTGGTGAACTATAAACTTATTAATTTATGGTAGTGCAATAATTTATTTAATTTATTAGCAATGTTTCAAGTTGCCAGGTATATGAACAGTTCTTAAAAAGACGAATGCGACCACGGCTAGCTCATGTGATATCTATAATACGGCTCAGCTATAACTTTCGGGAATTGCTGTGATAAAATGATTTTTATATAGTTTAACACAGTTCATTTGCATTGTAAACTAAATAGTGTATGTAGAACAAACTTTGCAATTTATGAATCTTATCTCCTTACCCATGTACGAATCATTTGAGCACGATACTAAGCGATTAACTTATAAATTATAGAAATATTCATAAATAAGTGTAGATTTTTCACGTATAATATGTATAATCTATAGAAATTTATAAAATAACTGTTTTAATATAGTTTAATAATAATAATAATAAAAAAATGGGATTAGACATAACATAAAGAGACGATAACTTAAAAGACTGTTTAATGTAAAAACTGAGAAAAAAAATGAAAGAACGACGCTTCCAGCCACTAAATATTGGCGACGTTCTCATAGTTTTATTACATTGTGAAAGCTCCACCCGGGGAATCCCCCGTCAGGTTAGGAAATCCCATTCGTGACGTCATTATAACGGGATAGAAGAAATCAACAATATGGCGTCCCCGTCAGAGTACCTGAGCAATGTTTGGCAACAATATGTTCCACAAGGCCACGATAAGCCTTTAAAACAAGCAGTTTACACGACAATTTCGAATTTATTCATTCTTGTAGCCATAATAGCACTCGTTGCGGTTTATTTTATTCTGGAAGCCTTTTTGCGACCATTGTTATGGGCTCTTCTTTGTGGAACATTTTTATATCCGATGAAACGTTCCTTGACGAATGTTATTCGGCGGTGGATGAAAGGATTAAGATCTTCGGGTACGCCAATAGCAGTGGGCATTGCACTTTTACCTGTGACAGTTCTGGACAGTTCCTCTAATGCTCTAAGTGATCAGATACAGAGAAACTTTAAAATAATTATTGGAATTGCTGTGGGACTGCCTGTCGTTTATTTGCTTTACCATTTCGGTCCATTGCAACATATTTTCGGAATATTTAATTTTTTGTTATGGTTCCTTTATGAACTAATTGGTTATTTTAGTTCCATATGGGTAAGACTTCCTTTACTGGCAATGATTATTTGAATTCATTCGTACTGTCTAAGCTGTGATAAAATAAAATAAAGTGTTTTCATCCCTTGAACAAACAGCGCTATTGCACTTTCGCACCTCTAACAGTAGGCCTATCTGTTACCGTGGTCGCAGAGACTTGAAAATTTCAGGGGATGTTAAGGTGGACTGGTAGAGGTACAAAAGTGCAATAGTACCTGAACACAATTACCCATATTAAGGCCATATCCTGATTGGTATAAGGGGGTTGGATGGCTGAATGGTTAGCGTGCGCGCTGTATCATAAAGTCTGTCATTGAGTCGACTGGCGTGGTTTCGAATCCTCGGTTGTACGTGACAAGGAGTAGGGTCACCTGTCCAACCTCATGGGTTTTCTCCGGGTCCTAGCTCCGGCTCCCACTGCTAAAGCCCCCTATGCGCAAGCGAATTATTGAAATAACATCAAACCATATGTTAGTCCCGAAATGACCTAGTTTGAGTTGAGTGGATGTTAAACCCCATTTTTCTCCCTCTCTCTCTCTGATTGGTATACAGACAACTCATCCCAAAGACAACTCATCCCAAGTTAGAAGACAACTCATCCCAATATAAAAGACAACTCATCCCAAGATAAAAGACAACTCATCCCGAAGAGTGTGTTTAGCAGAACAATAAGAACAAATTATGATGTCGAGGGCTGGCACAACAGAATTAATCAAAAGGAAGAAAAGGGAATCTACAATTCTATCATTCTATTGAAATTATTATACAAGGAAGCTACCAACCCAGATTAAAATGGTATCTGAGGGGAAATTGCAAAGGCACCAGCAAAAGCAGATAAGATCTACACAGTTCAAGTTATTTTAACTGTGGATTCCTACACAAACCAGACAATTAGCACTAACCAGTTATTAAAGAGATGTGGAGAAATCTATGGACCGACAAACTGAAGGACAAACAGGCTAACTTACTAAATGACTAACTGACTGAAGGACAAACAGACAGAAGAAAAAATAAATAACTAAGTGACTAACTGACAGAAGAAAAAACATTTATATATATATAAAAATGTAGATGTAAAAGTTAAATGTTCATGGTTTATGTCTTCAATTTTCTTTAAAAATAACAAACTGAAGAATGGTCTTCATATAATAATATGTATTATTTAATAAACTGTTGATGTAATAAATAATAATTTAACATTATTTTTATAAATTGTTGATGTAATAAATTCTTATATAAATTGTTAATGTAATAAATTCTTATATTACTGATTAATTTTTAAAAAAAAATAAATAAAATACAATATTTGTTGTGATATTTATTTGTAACTTGGAATGAGTGGTTTTTTTTAAAAGTTGGAATGAGTTGTCTTTAAACTAGGGATGAGCTGTCTTTAAACTAGGGATGAGTTGTCTTGGATGAGTTGTCAGGTATTCGTTTGAAATTACTTCTGGTAAAATAAAATTGATTGTATAATTAAAATTTTCCAACTCACAAAAAGTTCTCCTAGGAAATACCATAATTAAAGCTAACTAAAACGCTTTAACTGGAATTTTATGACAAAAGTGTTGGTGTTCACACACATAAATCTGCACTTATCTGTGAATTTGTTTCATTCTTAAACCTCCCAATAAGATTGCCTGCAAATTTCTGCTTTATTTATATTTTGAAACATTTTTATGATAAATTCAAGCACAGAAAAACAAAAAATCCAATAAACAAGCTAACAAGTTATTATTCAGTATAATTTAGCTAGTACTTTCCGTTAGCCTTGCAGCAAACAGGAGTGAGGGCTAGAATAAGCTGTTACAAAATATTTATGGCAGGTTCTGAAATTGCTTTAATCAGAAATTCTTTAGATGTGTGTTGGCTTAGAATTATAGAAATCTACCGGTAGATTCTTATTATATGGAAATATTTATAATGAAGTTCCCAAAGAGAATAGCTAGACCTACTCTTTCATGTACCCGGTAGTTTTTCTGTGATATGATATTTTTATTTTAATTTTTTCAGATTTGGACAATTTTTGTAGCTTACATATTATTGCTATTTGTCTACTGGACACCAGAATCTCACGAAACGTTATCATATGTGGCTATACCAGTGTGGGTTATTTTTATAATACATGTTGCAACAATTGCTGGACCACTACGTGTTCCTCTTCTCATCACTATGATAGCTATTATGATTATTGGTTTTGTCACAGACGTCAATGCAAATAAGAGTCAAACAGAAACAGGTAATTACCTCCCCTTGATTAATTTGCTGTATCATTGAGATGCTGCATGTTATAAGTCGAGTCCAGTCATTTTCAATAAAATATATTTTAGAGGGATTAGAAATTTCAACAAGAAAATAAATTCCATTAATCTTATAAGCTTATCCAAAATAGCCATATATACTTCACTGTTATTCAATTTTTAGACGTCCATATTATTGTTTCAGTGATAGATTACCAGATTTGTCTCTAAAGCCTGGTTCACACGCGTGTGTCACTATTTGCAACAACTAATGACTGATGATTAAAAACCACTTGCAGTGACAAGGGGTGATGCTAAGGTGACGCTATGTTGCATAGGTCTTATGCTGTAACACTGTGCACTACCCTATGCCGGGATAACACCTGCTCGTGTGAAACAGGCTTATAAGCTAATTTGAACACCCTTGATGTGTAGTCTAATCAGAAATAATATTTTAACCAAACGGCCAGATCTCCACAACTCAAATTCATCTGTGTAAACTGAATATGAATCACTTTATATACACTCATATTACGTTAATATGTACATTTAGACACATTTATGGTTCCAAAATATAGAGCTATATGTCCTTTGAACATTCAAATTACTTTATTCTCTGAGCAAAGTTATCACTGTTTGAAGTTTTGATGAGAATAGTGTAGTATTGGATTTCATTACTAGCATTGGTAGCTGGATTGGTAATAAAACATGTATATTATTTTCTAGAAACTGAAGATATAAAAGAACAAATAGAAGAAGAGAAATTAATAGGTGTTACTGAAGCTAAAATTGACACAAACTGGAGTTTTAAACGTTTAACAGAAAAGCCATCAGACACAACCCCTACAGATATAGCAGAGAAACCAAAATCTCTACAATTTTCATCTCCACCTTCCTCTCTTACAAAACTACCACAACAACTTACACCACAAGGTCCTTCTCTAACCAGTCAATGTTTCATGGCTCTCATTTGGGGTCATGTTTTAGTGCGTTTGTGGATGCATCTGTGGATAATAATACTCATACTCATCTTGCCTTTTGTTTTAATGCTCTTCAAAAAATTAGGTAAGGACCAAAATTATCTATTAAATAAAGGCTGTTTCAGGTGCATAGTTATTGTTTCGAATATAGCATTAGAACTTTCAGAAAGAAAACAAATGTTAATTGATTCATATTATATTTAACACAACTCTGGTCTCTGCTAATTATCATAAATTCAAGTCTACTTCGATCAAATTATTATTCAGCCTACATGTACCCATGTGTCTGTGCTGTATTAGGATTTTCCAACAAGATCTCCTGTAGAAGTTTGCAAAAACAAGGAATATTGGGATAGCCCTTTAAAATTGTCATTTGAGCAGAAATGTACCACTTATCTAATGTATAAGGTTGCAAAAACAAGAAGGGTTGGGGTAGCCCTTGAAATTTGTCATTTGACCAGAAATGAAACTGAAGTTGAAACGAGGTAAATACATTGTGAGCCCTGCTGTCAGTCATATCTTTCACAATAAATAAAACATTACAAGTTTTAATTTACTCTATTTCTTTTAAATTTAAAGGAGCAACCGTGAGTAGTGAAGGAATGCTAGGGGAAAAAATCCAATTTTTAAAGAAAACTGTATCTGATTGGTTTGAGTCTCGACAAGATGTTCTCGTACCAAGATCTATCCGAGGTTTAATAAAACTGGGCCTTAGAGGGGATGGAAAGGTATTTCTTTCATTTGTTCAAGTATTAATTGATGTTGGAAAATTATATCATACTGGTCATTTAATGAATATGAATTCATAGACATATAATAAATTTTATTAGCTGAATTTGTATGTATTTTAATGTATACTTTATTTATTTACAGATTATAAAAGTATTAGAAGATGGTATAGATAAAATGACTAGTATATTATTGATTTTAGCTTTATTAATTGGAACAGTTTTATTTACTGTATTAGGTGCCATACAGGTAATATAACTACATACTTCTCTTTCTGTTAAATAAAGTAGGGAGGTTGGATGGCCAAATGGTTAGCGTGTGTGCACTGTATCATAAGGTCTGTCATTGAGTCAACTGGCATGGTTTCGATTGCAAGGAGTAGGGTGGCCTGTCCAATCTTGTGGGTTTTCTCTGGTTCCTCCAGTTTTCTCCCACTGCTAAAGACCCATACGCACAAACTTTCTTGTCTTTTCAGTCCCTGAAACATGCCTGTAATGTGCTATATTTTAAGAAAAAAATAATGTTCAAATAGAAATATACATGTATATTGAGCTTCATTTATGTGAAATTACAGAAGTATTTGAGAAATGGGGTTTAACGTCCACTCAACACAAACTAGGTCATTTCAGGACTAACACATGGTTCAATTTTATTTCTAGAAGTATTTGAAATTATGCATACTTTTATCAGAGCTATATTTTTGTTTGTATCATTCATTAGCCATTTCTTTGATTCCCCGGTTGCACATGACGAGGAGTAGGGTCGCCTGTCCAACCTCGTGTTTTTTTTTAGGGGTCCTCCAGTTTCCTCCCACTGCTAAAGACCCCTATGCACAGCAAATTATTGAAATAAAATTGAACCATGTGTTAGTCCTGAAATGACCTAGTTTGTGTCGAGTGGATGTTAAACCCCATTTCTTTTTCTCTGTCTCTCTATTAGCCATTTCAAGATGTCAGTACTTTGATGTATCTTGCTATTTTAAAAAGTGTAGAGAATGAAAAATGATATCCTAATATTTTAGTTTTTATGGACTATTTTATATGGAAATTTGGAATAATAATAAAAGATTTGTTTATAAAATTCAATGAAAATAGAAAAAAAATATTGTAAATGTATATTTGTTGTTTAGATACATCAAGAGAGTATGTTAATGGTGACTATGACAAGTACATTATTAAATGATACACTGCATCCAGAACTAAGCCAGTAAGTTTATAATATATTCATTGTAAGAATGTTGAAATACCTTTATATTCCAGAAGTGAGTTGCTTTGCTGTAGGAAACTCTGGCCTGTAAGATTGTACATATTGGCCTGCTATCGGAAAAGTAGGCTATACAGAAACACCACTTTCCTTATAGGCAATGTACATCTAACTATATTAAACACTTACCATATGTTAGTCTGAAAACTGACCAAAGTTCTGTGTTGTTGAGTATTGAAACATCATTCCTGTTCATTCTGTAAGAGTGTCACATATATTCTTAAATCACACTTTAGAGGGTGCTCTGCACAAACATTTGCAGACAAACTGATGTTTGAATTTATTTAACAAATATGGGTGTGTGTGTGTGTGTGTGTGTATAAAAGTATATTATTGGTTGTGATTATTATTCATGTCTGCCCCATCAAATGATAATGTAAATTGTTGTTACATTTAATTTATTTAATGTGTATTTCCTAGGTGGTTGCCCAATAGTGAAGATATGACTGACGCTATGGATTCTATGGTTGGTAATGCTTATATATATGGTAGAGACTGGATAGCTTCTAAGGTAAGTTGATATTTTCTATCACACATTTTTTGAGATCATTATCTAAGAGTAAACATGTCTTTTTTTGCCTTTCATATATTAACCCGAATTTGAACAAGTAAATTAATAAATAAATAATGATTGAATATTTTTGTAGGTACGAGATTTAGTAGATGATGGAACTGCAAATAGTACGCATATTGAACAACAAGTTTTAGAAGTTTGGGATAGACTTTATGATTCCTGGTTTTCGAAGGTAATAAAGTTTTGTATGATAGATGCTAATAAACTGCTGAAAACTTTTTCAAAGGATTTTTTTTTAAAATGAAAAATGTAATTTTGATGCTGTTTGTGTTATGATTATTATATGCCCACATTTTCATGTGGACGTATATTGTCGTCGTCTCCGTCTGTCCGTCCACAATATGATGATTGGGTTCGAATTTCTTGAAAATCGGACCAAAACTGCCAAACAGTGTGGCTGCTCTTTGTACGCAAATAGTGTTAAAGTATGTAATACCAAGGTTGTGGACCCACTAGAGCTCACAATTTTGATGAAACCTAAAATATATTTTTATGTCCCACAGATTTCCAATCCTTTGGCAATTAGCATATATCAGATCATAACTTCCTGGATTATGACCCTTGATTGTACAAAAAATCACGTTCTTTTAGCTTTTGCATCCTCTAGAAGTCTCAATTTTTATCCAATTTTAAAAAATGTTTCAATATGTCATCGTTACATCCTAATCACGCTTGAATTCGAATTTCGGACTGTAACTGCCTGACAAAATGGCCGTAAAAGTGTGTAATAACAAGGTTGTTGACCCTCTAGAAGTCACATTTTTATCCGATTGTGATGAACCTTAGAATATATGTTTATATCCCGAAGATCTCGGTTCCTGTAGATATACATGTATATCAGACTCTGACTTCCTGGATTATGACCCCAGAAAAATTGCTTCTTTTTTTAGCTTTTCTCTGTCCATATCTTGCAAAATGTGGGTGTATCTTGCTTGGCAACCGCTTGTCATGTTATTTAAAGGAATCTGCATGTTGTGTATTAGATCTGATTTAGAGAATAATAAATCATTTATATAGCACTTGATTTCCAGAGAGGTCTACTCATTTATATTCTAAACATTTTACCTACTGGTAGCATTTTACCTACTGGTAGCATTTTACCTACTGGTACCATTTTACTTGCTGGTACCATTTTACCTACTGGTACCATTGTTGGTTGGAAAACTGTTGTTTAATGTTCAAGAATCAATAATAGTCATGATTTGTTAAGGCTGATGAATTATAGGGTTTGTAGTATTTCAAATTCAACAACATGTATCTTATTTAATTGTCATTTTAACCCCAATTACATTTGTGGTCAGTTTTTATACGCCCACATTGAAATGTGGTCGTATATTGTCGTCGCCCCCGTCCGTCCGTCTAAAGGCTAAAGTTAATATCCGATTGACTTTAAATTTATACACAGTGTTTAAGGTCATGAGACGAAGAAGCCTATTGATTTTCAGCGATTTCTGATAATTACTGCCAGAGTTATGGCCCTTGATCACTTCAAAATATCTTGTGGACGCTCTAGAGGCCAAAGTTAATATCCGATTGACTTTAAATTTATACACTGTGTTTAAGGTCATGAGACGAAGAAGCCTATTGATTTTCAGCAATTTCTGATAATTACTGCCAGAGTTATGGCCCTTGATCACTTCAAAAAATCTTATGGGCGCTCTAGAGGTCAAAGTTAATATCCGATTGACTTTAAATTATTACACAGTGTTTAAGGTCATGAGACGAAGAAGCCTATTGATTTTCAGCAATTTCCGATAATTACTGCCAGAGTTATGGCCCTTGATCACTTTGAAAAATCTTGTGGACGCTCTAGAGGCTAAAGTTAATATCCGATTGAGTTTAAATTTATACACAGTGTTTAAGGTCATGAGACAAAGAAGTTTATTCATTTACAGCGATTTTTGATAATTACTGCCAGAGTTATGGCCCTTGATCACTTCAAAAAATCTTGTAAATGCTCTAGAGGCTAAAGTTAATATCCGATTGACTTTAAATTTATACACAGTGTTAAAGGTCATTAGACGAAGAAGCCTATTGATTTTCAGCGATTTCCGATAATTACTGCCAGAGTTATGACCCTTGATCATTTTGAAAAATCTTGTGGACTCTCTGGAGGCTAAAGTTAATATCTGATTGAGTTTAAATTTATACACAGTGTTTAACGTCATGAGACGAAGAAGTTTATTCATTTACAGCGATTTTTGATAATTACTGCCAGAGTTATGGCCCTTGATCACTTCAAAAAATCTTGTAAATGCTCTAGAGGCTAAAGTTAATATCCGATTGACTTTAAATTGATACAGAGTGTTTGAGGTCATGAGACGAAGAATCGTATTGATTTTCAACGATTTCCGATAATTACTGCCAAAGTTATGGCCCTTGATCACTTTTAAAAAACCTTGTGACCCTCTAGAAGCTAAAGTTATCATCCGATTGACTTCAGATTCATACACAGAGTGTAAGGTCTTGAGACAAACAAGTATATTGATTTTCAATGAATTTTTATGACTTGAACAGCTAAATCCATGATGTTAAAAGTTTCCTATACTAAACGTTAGCATGGGGCAAAACTTTATAAAAACCAAACAAATTCTAATGGTTTTCTGATAATTACTTAATGAGTTGTTACTCTTAATCAGATTTTAATGTATTATAAATGTTTCATTACCGAAAAAAGTAAAAATATGTGACAACTCTTGTTGACTGCCCGGACGAGTTAGCTGCTGTGGGCGTATGTTTTGTTGCCTGGCAACCTATCTTTTAAAATAAAAATAAAACCTCTTTGCAGAAAATGCAATTGATGTCCTGATAATGTCAAATTGAACATTCTTTTGACTGGTTTTATCTTCTGTCAATCTTTTTCTTAACATTACATAGTTTGTGTTTGTAACTTGTTCATAACATTACATAGTTTGTGTTTGTAACTTGTTCATAACATTACATAGTTTGTGTTTGAACCTTGTTCTTAACATTACATAGATTATGTCTGGAACTTTCTAGCATTACATAGTTTGTGTTTGGAACTTTTTAACATCACAATGAAATCTCATCACAGATTTGCCTGGAGGTATGCATCTGAAATGTGATTTTTGGCATGATGGTTGGGTGGACATTTAAGGACACAAGAAAATCAACACCAACCTACGGAATCCATATTTACTTTACACTGAAATGTAGGCACAATGGGTTAAAGTTGCAATTGCAAATTTTCAAGTTATATTTTTAAAATGTATTAAAATAAAGCCTTAAAATAGATGGTATCCATAAACAGTCCTACCTTGTTAAAGAATAATCCTATTAATCCTATAATTCACTATTGCCAGCTGAGAAATTGGCTAAAATATCATTTTTAACTTCAAATTCCAACGTTGGAAAATGGCTGCCCTGTGTTGTCAATAGCAAAACAGGGGAGGTAATTGTGTTGTTATTTCCTGTGTCATAGATTTTTAAGGGTGGGAAATAATGCCCATGATCGTATAATAGTGATTTGATAACCTATTGAGCAAAAGACATAGAAATAATTATGTTTTGACTTAATTAGAAAATTTGAAATTCTCGCTTTAAAAACAAAAGTCAGTAACATGTGTCCATGTCTAGCAGCCAAACATACCATACAACGTTGCCGCATGTAGGAGATAGGCCAGTGAATGGCTGCTGGTTGGATACTTCTCCACTCTCATTGCAATGTCACTTCCAGTGGCTGTAGTACTCTATTATTCATGACGCCTTGAATTAATGTAATGACACATTCACAGTAATGTGGGAGTTATTCTGACCATAGTTTTTAGAAGCCACTCTTTTTACCCCTTGTCTAGTCTATAAATTCTGTCAAATTCAATTTTTGATTCGATCTGTAACGTCTTAATATGATTGTGAAAACACCATTCTCACATGTTATCGTTTTTGTTACATTCAGAATGGCAAGGTTGATCAAGGTTGATAATGATTGACAATCATCCATGAATGAAAGTAGTGTGTTTTCATTGTGTCTCTTTCTTCCATGGTTTTAATATTGTTTTATCTGATGGTATGACCACCTGACTGTCGGCCATACATTGTTATCTTACATTGTTACATTCTCAAATTCTTCTAAACTATCTGAACAATTTGGTTGTTATGTTGCTTGGGAGGTGCTTGAAAAGATTTGTTGAAATTAATTTTCTTGTCCGCATGTAAACAAGTCAGGGGCACCATGAAGGGGCAAATTAATTTTTTGGGTTTTTATCTTCTTTTGAACTATGATAGTACATGTATATAAGATATTGCAAGAACTTAAAGACCAATAAAGCCCACTTCTGCTCTTGTTAATCAATTTAATATCCCTAATTATTTGCACTTTTATCAGAATAGAACGCATGCACCACCATTTTATTGGAACAACCTCCTTACCAGTTGCCTTCTTTGTTTTACTGATCCTTCTCAAAAGGTAGTGTAGTATCCTTCGAACCAATCCCTTTCTCTCTTATACAGCTACTACTACTAAAATCAAACATGGCTACATATTTTATATTTCACGATCTTGGTTCTTTTTGGTGATTTGGTGTGATCATAAAACTATCTCTGTGTGTATGATGTCAATATTTTAATTGTCTATTTTAAGTATCTTGGTTGTTGGTATTTTTATATTTACATTTCAAACCCCCCTTTTGATGGATTGGTTACCTGTGTGTAAAGTATTTATTGAGTTATCTTTAAGAAAATTTTGCTATTTTTGAAAATAATTGAATGTATTAAAACTGGTGTTTGTAGTAAATCAAAGTTATTGAGTTAAAAAAAACAACTGTATGTTGATGTATGTTGCTAACTGTATAATATTGTTATATATAGTACCACTCTAGATACAAAAAAATCTTTTTTGGAATTGAGGGAGCTTATTATGACAGATTCTAACCGAACATATGAAGGATGAGTTATTAATTTAATTAACAACTGATTCAGTTAATTATAACATGTTGGTGGAGGGATGAGGCTGTTATTATAGATATGTTGTTGAATTCTTGTATTGTGTATATTTTAAATGCTACTCAGGTTTGGAAAAAACATCAATCTCAGCTGATAGTAAGTTACTTCTGAACAGTATCTGGTCAATAAGTCTATTCTCTAACTCTATTCAAAAACTGATTTCTTCTTTGGTGCCCACATGTAGACTGAAATCTTTTCTCATCCGTTTGGTTTTGGGTAAGATCTGAGTAAGAGAAGGAGTAGACTAGTAAGTCTATCTGGCAGGATTCATATTATTCCTCAGTGATCTCTGCTATATAATAGCATGTAAGGTAATTATAAAAGTAAAGAATTACCAATTGTTAACCAAGAAATGATGTAATCCTATTTATTTCCATTCTGAAATAAATTTCCATTATTTTAAATCAAGAGGTTTTTATTTCCAGATAATAAAATAACCATTTTATTTTTTTTTCTTCAGAATACGACTAGTCTAAGTAAACCTGGTGTAGATGTACATTTTCCTGATTTTTCTAATATAAGTGCAGTATGGGAGTTTGTATCTCGAGGTGATGGGTTATTTGATGTTAGCAGTGCTGTTACGTTTGTACAAGATAATATAGGAACCTTCATGTCTGTAAGTAATACATATTTCACAAGTCAGTGCGGTTAAACATAAAATATTTCTTACCAGATCTAGTAAGAATATTTCAGTCTTTTATACATTTTTGGGATACTTTTTATTCACCTACATTGAAATGTGATCATATTTTACTATTGTCCATAATTTTTTGTGAATGGTCTGCAGACTACATTTAATATTCAGTCTTTTTAAAATTTACGTGTTGTTTTATTTTACTCATTGAGATTTCAACAATTTCAGTTATTTACTTCTAGAGTTATTGCCTTTGATCTGTTTCTAGAATCTTGACGATAAAATTCATTTCTACCTGAACTATAGTTCAAAATTTCATTTTACTTGTCTTTACTACACTAAGATCTGGAAGAGTTGTTATATATCCCACGTTCTGGATGATGTGAGGATTAGCCAATAAAATGATCTGTTACGGCAAGTTTTTGGCTTGAAGTGCACAGAACTGTGGGTAACCCACTAGAAACATCAACGCTGATTGGTTAAGCAAATGTCTGATGTCATAGGGTCAAAAGCCACTCTTCTGACCTCTGATACCACCTTCCACTACAACCAGTCATATCTTCATGTAGTAGAGGCCATCAAAAGTATAAAAGAATGAAACAAAATATAGATGTGTATTATAATCAGATTGAACAGTATGTTTTACAGTGTAAAGATTCTGTTATTTATTTGACTGAAGGATCACAATACAACAGCTATATGGACTTTTTGAAAGACTTGATGTATTGTATATTTAATAGGTGTTAGATTCTGTATGGATGGTCCTTAAAGGAAATATGAATCTGATATCAAGTCTAGTCACTGCTATTATATCTATGGTATTAGGAGGAGGAACAGCCATCTTGAACTTTGTTATCTCAGCTGTAAGTTATACAAACTATATCACATTATATTAAATATTTGGGGGTTTGGGTGTCCGAAGAATAAGGTCTTTTATTGAATCAAGTGGCATGGTTTTGATTCCCTGATTATATGTGACAAGGAGTAGGGCCGTCTGTCCAACCTTGTGGATTTTCTCAGGGTCTCCAGTTTCCTCCCACTGCTAAGACCCCTAGCTATGCGCAAGCAAATTATTGAAATAAAAATTTAACCATATGTTAGTCCCAAAATAACCTAGTTTGTGTCAAGTGGACGATAAACCCCATTCCTCTGCTTTCTCTCTCTCTATTAAATAGTTAGGATTTCTGTAAGAGTTTTAAAATAGTTGTTCTGAATAAATATGGAATCAGGAAAATGTTTTGAAATAATTCTTACCAGAACTATTTAATACTAATGTTGATATCTTGTCTCTATCTCTAGGTTATATTTTTAACTACATTGTTTTATCTGTTGGCATCAAGTGGTAAAACATATAAACCAGTAGAATGGTTTACTAGTATGAGTCCTAGTCAAGGTGGACAGTCTGGTTTCGGGCAAGCTGTTGAAGAAGCTATAAGGTAAACTGTGTACCCGGCATTAGGAAATCATTGCATTGTGATGTTATTGTGAACTTTTTGAGGTGGACTAGAATTTGTTGCAAGATTTATAGAATTAATTCAATTTGGCCCAAGTGATAAAATGTATTTCATTATTAAATATCATATTCAAAATGACTTTATACTCACCTGATTATAGAAAATATGAGCACTGATGAAATTTGAGCAAAGTTGGACAGGTTTAAATATAAAATAAAATATCTGAAGCATTAGATGAACAGATTTGTCTTATAGTTTACACACTATGTGATTTGATTATGCCACTTGTCAAATTAATTATTGTATTTTAATCTATACCCAAATTTGAATTTCATATAAATAATAAGTTGATGTGTTGTACTAATTTCAGTTCTGTATTTATGGCTTCACTCAAGATGTCAGCTTTCTATGGGTTGTATACATGGTTAACACATGTTCTCTTTGATGTGGATATTGTCTTTATACCTTCAGGTAAATTAACAGAAAGTAATATTGATATATAGTACTAATAACTTGTTATTCCTTACTTGTTTTGGGACTAAAATATGGTTCAATTTTATTTCAATAATTCGCTTGCGCATAAGGGTCTTTTAGCAGTGGGAGGAACCGGAGGACCCAGAGAAAACCCACGAGGTTGGACAGGTGACCCTACTCCTTGTCACGTACAACCAGGGATTTGAAACCATGCCAGTTGACTCAATGACAGACCTTATGATACAGTGCGCACACGCTAACCATTCAGCAATCCAATCCCCCGACCACAACTAGAATGTCTCCAGTGCAAATAACAGTGTGGGTGTGAAGAATCATCATTTTAACAGTCTCAGTTTTCACTTGTTAAAGAAATAGTTTGTTGTGGTCACCTTTATTGTGGAAATAAATGATGTCCCATATACAAATTGATAATAGAAATAAAAATTATTGTATGTTAGTCAGAAAATGACTTTTATTGGATGGTACATATATTTTTACACACCTTTTCCTGTTTTTCTTACAGTTTTGGCTGCCATATTTGGTGCTGTACCATTTGTTGGGACATATTGGGCTGCATTTCCTGGTGTGTTAGAATTATGGGTATTAAAAGGACAAGGTGTAATGGCAATAGTTCTATTAGTGTTTCATATGTTACCAGCTTACGTTGTTGATACAGCTATTTACAGTGAAATAAAGGGGTAAGTCTTTCTCAATTGGAAAAAATTCAAACTTATTCTTTTATACAGTTGCCTGGTAAGGATACAGGAGTCATGATTAAGATGAAGCGTTGGTTTAATCCTGACATGTTTAGAGTTCTGTGTATAATAATTATCCACATTAAGTTATTGTTGATGAGTTTCCTTGAATTTTAAAACTAATTGTTTATCTTTTCAGTGGTCATCCGTTTATGACAGGTTTAACTATAGCTGGTGGAATGTATTGGTTAGGTTTAGAGGGAGCCTTTATTGGACCTATATTATTATGTTGCTTGATCGTGGTTGTTAATATGTATAGTACCATGATAAAACCAGAACCTATCACACCTTCAGCAGGTTTGTAATTCAACATTAACCTTCAAAATTTTATTATCTGTGCAAGCATGAGTTTTATTTAGTTTTTCTTCAAATATTGGATAAAATTAATTTGATAAAATTGTGTAAGTAATATCTTATTGAATGAGGAGTAGCCCCCCCATTGTGATGTTTTGAAATTAACTTTTCCCTTGACTTTTTAGGTGGTATACCAAATTAATGTTGCATGTTTTTATAATTTTTGTAAATGCCCTACAGTTTAGGGTTTTTGAGTTACTGCCTCTTACTTAAATCAAGTAAATGGTTGATCTAGAGTTTTGGAGATTTTGTTTTTTCAAACAATCTGGAATTGTTTGGCTAGTCACAGCTCAGAGTTTCCCATTAAGTTTATGTGGAGTCATTACCCCTGTAAACAAAACCTTGTAAATGCTCTACAAATCTTAGTTTTTTAGAACTGTCTTTACAAACTTGCTACGATTTTTCGGCGAGATATATTAGAAAACTGTCTATATTGAAATTCAAACTTGGGATCATAGATAACAGACTATATGATCTACAGTGCAGTCGTTAGACCACATGGCCACCCTAACTCCTCCTTTTAAATTGCTGCTGGTGGGTGTATATATGTTGCATGGCAATGCCTTGTTTCATTTATACAATTTGGGATGTTATTGGCAAGTATATATAATGTTCAGACTTAACACTTGCATCTTTACCTAATAACTTAAATTATTAATTTAGGATATCCCATTCAAACACCAAGATTACGAAGTTTAAAGATGCAGGATTTAAAGCGGTGAAAATAATATTTATAACATATAACATTAGAACCCTCTCACCGCTTATTAATATGTTATGATTAATGTATTCAATATATTGAATTTAACAGCATTAAATTTACTTATCATGCACACCTTAAAATAACAGGCCTAGTATACGGACATACAATTAATTAGAGAAAACCAAATTTAAATCACTTTTAGATATTAGGGAGTAAATTGAAATTAATGAAAATCACATATACATCTAGCAACAACAACTGTCTGATAAAATAATCAGCACCAGGCAAAAATATATATTCCCTGCTCTTCGACTATTAGTTTGATTAATGTATGTCTTTGGTTCTATCAAGCTCATCTCATATTATCTGTTATACTGGTGATTGGAATCTATGCTTATATCTATACAACACTCTTATCTTTTGCTTTATTTATATTTAGGGCAAATGGTTCTATATATTCACTACTTTATTAAGACTGTTTCTGGTCAAAGGTATCTGTTTCCCATGCTTAAGCCAAATAAAAACATTTTTCTGGTTCTCAGACAATTCTTAAAAAAATCTGATGCAGGAGGGAGTTTTTTATTTTATGTTATTAAGGATAAAATTAACTGGTTTGATATTTTTCTCATCATCTATTTATTCATGCTGGGCCTTATTAAGTGATGCAGTGGTATTTCAGAACCAAAATATTTTTTGTATGGCCTTTACAAAATTTGAAACTAAATAACATTAACTTCATGTCCATGGTGGAAATATTTGATAATGCTATTGTTAGAATATGACTTACTCTAGTTTTTAGTTTTTGCTAATGTTAGTAATAATGAAGTATATGTATATAGATTAATATCTAACAAAAGATTTCAAATAAAACAGTAAATATTAACATGGATATTATTGCATTAAACATATAATTTGATTATTTTCCATTTATTTTACAGTTCAGTGAGTACTGATGGTGTACCTCTGAGATAGGAATCAAATGGTGCTGTTGTTCTGATGATTATAAGCTATGTGATTCTAAGTCATTTACAGGGTAGTTGTTGTTTTAATCTAGAACTCTTTAAAAGTATATAATACTAATATTTACGTATAAAATATTTATCAAATTTATTTGAGATTAAAAGCTCTACTAGCAATAAATAAACGAAAATCTATGGGGATTTGTTCCTATAATAAAAGTACAACATACATTGGTTGCTATGTGAACATGCCAAATAGACAAGAAGGGTATATCAGGTGTTCATGTGAGTGTAAGAATACCTGTCTCTAATTTTCTGAGAACATACAATCATGATTTGTTTATCTTTATGTATGTTTGTAATCATTGTTATAGCATCCTTTTTTGTAAGAATCTGGTTTTTTTAGCAGATTGTATTGATTTTCTGGGTAGATTTAGTTAATTTTAGCTGTAATTTAAATCTAAGTTTTAAAAATATTTTATAAATGTGTGATCTCACAAGCAACCATACTTGTGCACTTCTAAGACATTTTAGGCAGGGTTTGAGAGTTATTGCGGCTAAGAATCCCCCCTTCCCCAAACTTTCTGGGAATAAATAATATATTTTGGTGCAGAAGTGCTGTTATTGGTCAATATTCATAGATAAATGGATTCCTCTACGGCTATGGTTTTGGTGCATAATTTTCTCAAGATGTTTTATTTAGTTTCTGCGTAGTTCAAAAATACATAATTAACACTGCATAACATTTACATATCACACTAGTTTCTATTATTATAAGTAATATTATTTAGAGGTGCCATGGTTTAATAGTTGTAGTTGTTATTAGATGTTTTAAATTATTATTGTATTTATTATTTAGCATTTATTATTATACATCCAATTAGAAATTCTAGTCATACAGAGCTAGTTGTGTGTAGCTGCCAGAATATGTAAACTTGTTATTCAACAATATACAAAATCTAAAGCTATTTACATTTAATGTTTCACAGAAATGATGATATTATTTTGATCATGTTCTATTAAAGACACATTAAGGAAGATTAGATAAAGAGCTGTCAGTTTTCACTATAATATACTAATGTCCAAAAGAAAGTATACACACTAAAAATATGAATAAGTTTTGTTTAAATCAACAAAATGTGATAAAACTACACTGAATATGTCTCGTGCGTCCAAACTCAATATTTCTAAGCAAATAAATGGCAAAACAAATGGCATTGTACCCAAATACTGCATACAATGGAAAAATGACTTTGTTTGAAGCAGGACAAATTGCTCAGTGTATACTTTCTTTTGGACATTAGTATAGTTAAAAACTAGATAATGTAAAGGCAATTTGCCAAAAATTTGAGTCAAATTGATCCACTATGAACCGAGAATTAAGCGATTGAAATTTCAGCCTAGCTTCGATCATCATTACTAAAGTCGGTACGATAAATAACAATGTCATGATTATCCATTTCATGATTAAATCATGAATGAAAGTTGAGCAGCAAATGGGATCATAATCCAGTAAATATCGCAGGCTAGCGATGACATCGAGAGTTGATTATGATCTGAATAAGTTAATTAATGTCTAATTAATGACTTAGATAACATTTCAGGCCTAAAGAAAACCTGCAATAGGCAGATTTAACTCTTGCATAATGTATATTTAATGGATTGTAACAGCTTATTTTATATACTGTAAACAAGTGATTGATTTACAAATAATTTAAGAATTAGAGTTTTCAAACATATTTGAGTTTGTAAATGACCATGTTTGACCCCATACATAGACTAGGCATGTAGTTTAAAAATAATTAGTAGTACTAGTGCTCCTTAAGAAATACACTGAAAAGCATGCAATAGACTGTAGTTAATGTATGGTGTGACAGTAAAAGAATCAAATTGTGTCCTTATATGCATAATTCTGTAACCAATAAACTGTGATTAATTTATAGTTCCCAACTTGACATATTCATATATAAATCATGCTTAATTGCAAGCTTAATCTATACTGTATATCCGTCCCTATTGCTATTAGTGTTCTTGTATTTTTACTTAGTTTATTATGTAGAGAAATTGTAGATATAGTTTGTGTACCTGGTTGTAATTTATCTATTTTCATCATTATAACACATACTTATGGAAGAGCAATTTACTCATTTATTTAGGCGACGTTTCGAAGAGTATTCTCTCAATACTTGTAAGCAAATCAGTAATTGTTCTTCTGTAAGTATGTCTTATAGTGTATTGATAAACATTTGCATGTGTATTAAGTTTAATTTTAAGACAATTGCAGAAGATGAGAAATTAAGAAAAACAGACAGTTTCTGATTGAAGAATTTTGTTAGATATGATTTTTATAAGCCACATTTTCATGTGGATGTATATTGTCGTCGCCCCTGTCCGTCCGGACGCCCGACCACAATTTTTTTGTGGACATTCTACAGGTCAATTTTTTATCTGACTTTGACAAAACTTTAAATATAGATTTATCTCCCAAAGATATCGTTCCCTTTGATATTGCCACGTATCTGACCGTAACTTCTTGGATTATGGCTTTGGTTGTACAAAAATCGGGCTTTTAGCTTGTGATCCCTCTAGAGGTCACAATTTTTATCTGATTTAAGAAAATGTGTATATATATCACTGTTACACCATAATGATGGTTGAGTTCAAATTGACTGTTCCATGTACGCAAATAGTGTAAAAGTATGTAATACCAAGGTTGTCATTTTGATGAAACTCAAAATATATGTTTACATGTACATTCGAACGATCTTGGCTCCTTTAGATATTCATGCATGTCGGATAGTAATTTCCTGGATTATGTTATGGCCTCTGATTATACGAAAAATCGCATTATTAGCTTGTGGACCCTTTATACACAAATAGTGTAAAAGTATGTAATACCCAGGTTGTGGACCCTCTAGAGGCCACAATTTTTATCCGATTTTGATGAAACTTAAAAATATGTTTATATCCCACAGATCGGGGTTCCTTGTGATATTTGCACATATCAGACCCTAACTTCCTGGATTATGGCCCCTGATTGTACAAAACATTTTTTTTTTTTTTTTTAGCTTGTTCTCTGTCCATCTCTTGTAAAATGTGGGTGTATCTTGCATGGCAACTGCTTGTTGTCTGTGTTTTTACGTTCAGCTATCATTTCCTACTGTAAAACCACATTATGACAAATAAAATTAATGTTATTTTTTCTAAGTGCTTTATATATATATGTTATTATATTTCATATGAAAGTGTTTTGAGTTTTGTAATTGTATTTTTATATAATTATTTATTCTCTATGTATATGATCATCAGCCTTGTTATTTTTCAAGAAGTAACTATTTGCCTTTTCTAAGTTTCTTGTCTTAAGATCTTTTTAATATTGGAAATGAATATTTATACCAGACTGAACCTCACCAGTTGTATCAGATTTTGAGATCTTTAAAACACCACAAAACATGCACAAGTAGTTCAGATTTGATAATTGTTGTTAGTTTGTAAATGTTATTAGTTTTGTTACCTGAGATTTCTATATTTTATTTATTTCATGTGAAGAGTCCCAGTCATTGCTTTATTATCGTTTGTAATAACTTTAACCACGTGTATACTCATGTCATTTAATGACATCATAAAACTACCGATACAATGCATTATAATATCGGATTTAAAATCTTACAAAATAACTTTAATTTTCAAAACATGAGTTGTAAGTTAATGAAGAGAATTTTATGATATACAGAAAACATTTAATGCCACATATCACTAGGCTGTATTTGTATTCCTCTTTTTATTCAGTACAAAGCAGATTCCAATATTTTCTATACACTCTTCATTATTCATTAGTTGAATTGAATCAGTTATATGTGGTTTAGGAAATGGAGATATTGTTATAATAAAAAGGACAATATAACAATACTACCTTCATAACAACTTCTTTCTCATTGTGCCAATACTTCAGTTATTCAAAACATTACTTGTCCGTGATTTAAATCTACCTTTCCTTATTCAACAATATAATAATTGTTGGATATGTATAATACATTATGAGTTGGTGTTTTGTAAATCAAGGAAATACAATGTATTTCTACTTCATATTAAGAGGAATTCTGTGCTTTATGAATGGTAATTATTTTGTAATATTTTAAGAATTGTTTTATTAGGTACAATGATGATATATTGACAATAGTTTTATCTTGCCAATAGAGTTATTTCTTGGTACATGAGATTTTCTGTACAATGATTAAGATATTGATGTTATTTGACTATACAAGGCCTTTAATTCTCTATTTCTATTATATAGTGTTCTAATCAAAACACATTAAAAAAAAATAAAACTATACTCAACTATATATCAGTTCTTATTTGTAGGACGTTAAACGGTAAACACTATTTCATTTTATTTCTTATTTATCTTTGGTGATGTTACACAAGTACAAATTGTTTTGTATGTGCTGTACATGTATGCTACATAGTAAAATAATGGGCAATAATTTGATGATAGAGTATAAGCGGTTGATCAAACTAATTAGATGTATGAATACTGGATGCTGTTCGAGAGAAATGGTGTAGTGTTGACTTTCATCTTTTCAATCTGAACACCTACACTCTTGCCGAAAGGGAAAATACAGCTATTATTTAGTTTTTGAGCATTAGTTTTGTAAATGATATTTTCAATATATGCTAATGATTGTTTTGAAACTGGTATGTTAGTTAATGTATTTATTCAAGTGTTTATTGTCAGTTATAACAATTTGGTAACGACTTTAAATTAGTTACGTTTCTTTTAGAATAAACAATTGCTTCTTTAGTCCCTTTGTTGTTCTTTATAAAACAGGAGCCCAGGTGAATGACAGAATAGTCTAAATTGTTGTGCTGTGGATTATGGATCTGTCATCTACACAACACAAGTTCAATCCAATAGTTATACTTGACAAGGAGTAGGCTCACCTGACTAAATTTGTGAGTTCTTGTGGGTTCGGTTAGATTTTCTAAAAAGGCTTTAACACGAATAAATGGAATAATAATATACCCGAAAAACTTATTTGTGGGTGTTAATCACAAAGCCCTTTTAATTTTGCAATTTATGGTAAGGGAGGATGCATTAAGAGATTCAACTTTTGGAGCTAATATGCTCAATCAGGGGCAGTGGAGGTGTCTAGACCTTGGTTGAGGCACTAAATTGCAAAGTGGTAAATATTAGAAAAAAGCCTGATGACTTTGTATTCTAACAACAAAATTGTATGGCCGTATATACATACTGTAACTGTAGGCCTATTTGAGCATAAAAGCAATGCTATGCATCTGAGGCGAAGGCACTTCCCTTAAATTCTCACAAGCTGCCAGTCAACAGCTTTAAATAGGACAACAGATTTAAACAGTTACAAAATGATTTGATTGTTGGTACGGCTATTGTTGACTACAAACAGATATATTAGCACACAACCTAATGCGGTGGACACACTAGCCGAATGATTCGGCCTAATCAATCGGCGTCGAAATTCGCCTAGTGTGTCCACTGTCATTCGGCCGAATGATTCGCCCGAATCAAACATGTTTGATATATTCGGCCCAATTATATTCGCCTGGTGTGTCCGCTTCGCCGAAACATTCGGCCGAATATAGAATTCATTAGCCAATCACCACTCATATCGAGAAGTCACGTGATAGATTGAAGCCATAGACGCCGTCATGTTTAATCATGTGACGTGAAAGGTGATGCAATCGACAGGTTGAATCGGGCGAAGCATTCGGCTAGTGTGTCCACCCATTCGGCCGAATAAAATTCGGCACCGATTGATTCGGCTGAACGATTCGGCCGATCGATTCGGCTAATGTGTCCACTGCTTTAGCATAATATTATGCATATTATGATATTGTTTAACTCTCATAAAATCAGTTGGGGGACTTCAGTAATTGATTAATGATAAGGGCACTTTCCAGGGTGGTTCCATAACAATAAACAACATTGGAATTTTTTAAACCACTTGTCAAGTCACTTGGTGCATCAGCTGGGCTGACAAGGAAATAATGTTGCAAAATGATTTAGATGAGATGAATAAGCATGGTTTATCCTCTAGCATGCATATACAAGAATCCGTGCTTGCTTCATTTGACGTTGGGTGTCTTAGTTTGGTCAGACCATTTTGAATTAAGATAAGTCTTATTGCCTGCATATTTATTTTGCATGCAATTTTTGTTTATTTGGGCTGTTGTGGATCCAAATCTAAATATACTATTCAAAAAAAGTAGGGGATATTTGATTTTTAAGTGTTATTAAAGTCACCTAATGAAACTGACGAAGAAACAAATGACAAAATGAAATGAAGTTCACATTCATCGATTTATTCCAAATGATCGTTAGACTAAGTAAGGCACAGACTGACCATTATAAGGGTAAAATGATACCCGGGGTCAAACAGCAAAGTTACCACAGCATCACAACCAAGTCAGTAACGGGTAAATCCTCCTCTGTTTGCCAAACAAGCACTGATCCGACGTGGCATACTCCTAATGAGACGTCTAAGGTCATTTTGGTCCAGATTGTCCCATTCCTGTTGCAACCCAGCAGCAAGTTCTTGGACATTGGCAGGACGTTGTTGACGTTGACGTAACCTCTGTCCAAGCATGTCCCAGACATGCTCGATGGGGGAGAGGTCGGGATTCAGTGCTGGCCAAGGTAATGTGGTGATGTTCTGTTGTTGGAGGTAACCTGTAACGATCCTGGCCCTGTGACATCTTGCGTTGTCATCCTGGAAGATGAAACGGCGGCCATGACGTCGTGCGAACGGCACAACATGGACTGCCAAGATGTTGTCCCGGTAGTACTGGCCTGTAACACGCCCTGCAACAATATGTAAAGCCGTTCTTCCAGCAACAGTGATGCCTCCCCACACCATAACAGAACCACCCCCAAATCGATCATGTCTGATGACGTTAACGTCTTGGAAGCGCTCGTTTCGACGACGCCACACCCTCCTACGTCTGTCTAAAAAATCAACAGTGAACCTTGACTCATCTGAAAACATCACATTGCTCCAGCGTCGATTATCCCAGTGTTGACGATCCCTACACCAACGACGTCTTGCCAGAATGTGATGATCTCTCAAACAAGGGATCACGCGAGGACGTCAGGCGCGAAGGTGACCCCTATGCAGTCGATTCCGAATCGTCTGGCCACTCACTCTCACACCAGTGTCTGTTTGAAGACGAGCGCTGATCTGATTTGCTGTGATGACACGATTTCTCAAGGCCAAGGTACGGATAAATCGATCCTGGGCTTGAGTTGTCGACCTGAGCGTGGTCTGTCCTGTACAGATTGTGTATCACGGTATCTGGACCATAGCCTGCTTATGACAGACTGAGAAACATTCATCGTCCGCGCCACAACCGCCTGTGTTGTGCCGATCTGTAGCATGCCAAGGGCACGTAACCTTTCATTTTGGGTAAGCCGACGCATATCAAAATTTGTTTTCTGGTCACTAAAACAATTAAACTGATGTTTCCACCCTGGAATTCAATGCCACAATGACTGTAACATTCAAAGTCAGAGTCGTGCAAATCTTGGGTTGGACCCCCACGATGATCCCAAGCATCACCTGCATTCCATGCGGTAGCTATTGGTGCGTTTGGGCGTCACATGTAACTGGAAATGTTTCTTCTGTTAGGTTCTATAGTGACTTTTTTCGTAGTCATTTGCATATTTTAGTATTATGCCCCCAAAATCAAATATCCCCTACTTTTTTTGAATAGTATATCAGACGTATAACTTTCCTAATACCGGTATCTTGAAATAAGCCGTTCAATGTCAGTTTTTGGTGCTTTGTCCAATTATCTAAAAAATATCAATTATTAAGGTCACCTGGGTTATAAATCTTTTCAGATAACAATTTTACGAAATAGTTATAAAATTTGAATCTGAATGTTTGATCGAGGTCCAATAATTATATAATTCCATTTCCTCAAGATGGCCGATTTGTGTCAAAAGAATTTCGGGCGGAAACGATTGTTTGGTAAATAGCTTGTTTAGAATAATAAAAATTCTTTTACATCCCATTAATATGATTTCGGAAATGATTATGAAATAATCAAGACTGATAAGAATATCAAATTTTAAGTCAAGGCATGAATTATGTCAGATAAGGTACCTTATGGCTTATCCTCCAGATGATGAGATTGAGTCAAGTACTGTCAAGTGAAGTGAGTCTGACTCTGAGCACAGGAGTCTGACCTTCTATCCGTATATATATATATGCATACACCATGTCCAACCAGACAATATATAATAAAAAAGAACAGGAATGCAATGCCTGTTGAAGACTTGATTTTACCTGCTCTCGCTTCGGCTCGTTTTTTTTCAACAATTCGTAATGTCAGGCAATCAAACCTCTGTCGATTCACTAAGATATGTTTTTTCTTCAATCTAGCCGTTTTCATTTGCATAAATACTCCCACAAAATGATATCATAGCCACTTGTTTCCAATATTTACATTACTTTCGTCCGTTTCCATGTTTTCACGGCCACCATGCGCTGACGTCGCACAAAATCAATCTGCGGTGAGTAGATCATTGAAACAAGTGCCAAAGATATTTTTAGTTTTTCTCTCCCTTTCCATTTTCCCCCTTTTGCATGACTCTTTTTGTTGACTTTTGGGTGTAGAATCGAAGAAGAGGGTTTGCATATACATTTTCTGCCAGGTATTGGTGAATATTCATCATTTTGAGGCGGAAGTATACAAGACTTTAAAGGTTGGTTGGCTTTTTGTGTGACGTAAGCGCATGGCGGCCGTGACAAAATGGAAACGGACGAAAGTAATGTAAATATTGGAAACAAGTGGCTATGATATCGTTTTGTGGGAGTATTTATGCAAATGAAAACGACTAGATTGAAGAAAAAACATATCTGAGTGAATCGACAGAGGTTTGATTGCCTGACATTACGAATTGTTGAAAAAAAACGAGCCGAAGCGAGAGCAGGTAAAATCGAGTCTTCAACAGGCATTGCATTCCTGTTCTTCTTTATTATATATTGTCTGGTTGGACATGGTGTATGCATATATATATATACGGATAGAAGGTCAGACTCCTGTGCTCAGAGTGCCAGATCCAGAATCCGATCTATCAATCATGTAACTGGCAATACTGCAAACAGATATAATGTCGTATTTATTCTATATGATCTGGCGTAGCCTTTAGGATTCACAACAGCATTAACTTGGCAAAAACAATCATATTTTTCTTTATTATTATTATTGTTAATTGTTAAATTTCCGACACACCCTAGTGCAATTATTAATTAACCATTTGCCATTAATAAAGGAGCTAAATCTGTAACTCAATATTTTCCATAATATTCGAAATTAAAAACTCAAATTAGAATTCAATATTGGTCCTTTTCAATCCATATTGATGTTGTTATGTTGCCGTGAAAATGTGGGATCCTAATTATCCAATATTTAAGACAATGAATGTTTTAAAATATGGTACATGAGTCATGTTTCTTATCGTTTCGGGGGCAAAGAAAAACATATCCTAGATTACAATGCGGCAGTAAATAGTAATGGCTGATCTACAAATAATAATATAAAAAATGTGAAGAATTGGCTAATTAGGCATAAACGATTGTCGTTCAGTTTGGAGCGTTAGCGTATGTCACCGAGCATAATTGATTATAAATTACAATTTTTTCTTAAAAAATTGAATAAGAATCACTTTTGTACATTCATATTACATGTGCTTTTAGACCCTTATAAGTCCAAGTCCAAAATAGAAGACCGGGATGTGCTTATATGTAAAGTACCGGTATTTACGTGACTGTGAAATAAATTTATCTCCCATAATGTCATTAAACTTAAGCCAACCACTTGCTTTAGTTTTCCTGGAAGTCGATGTACAATACTTATTACAAGCAAACACTAAAAACTGTGTAGACTCGAAAATCGAAAATGAATTTCAGATTGTATGTATGTCTCTTAAACATGCATTATGCAAGAGCAAAATCTGCTTATTACAAGTCTTTCTTTAGGCCTGAAATGTTATCTAAATTATCAATTAGACATTAATTAACTTATCCAGACCATAATAAACTCTCGATGTCAAGGCTAGCCTTCGATGTTGGCTGGATTAGATTCCTATATGCCGCTAACAGCCGTTGATAATTAAATCAGAAAAAGTGGATAATCGAGACTATGCTGTTTATATTAATGATTTTAGTAATGATGACTGAGACTATGCAAAAATTTCACCCGCTTCTTTCTCGGCTCATAGTGGATCAATTTGACTGAAATTTTCAGCAAATTACCTTTACACTATCTAGTTTTTAACTATTATAGCGAGAACTGCCATCTCTTTATCTTATTTCCCATAATGTATCTTTAATTTGATAAGTTTTGTCAAATTGGAGACAATAAAGTGAGATGGTAAATACAATTCATTGAATCTAAATAGTTTCTGACTATTATGACGCACTCCTAGTATCGAGGATCAAAATTGTTTAGAATTAATTATCAAATTGTCATAGGATGTTCATAAAGTCTGTGTCTTTAGCAAGAAGACCCCACATTTAGATATGGTCATAATTGAAATCTGTGTATTTTTCTCTAGGCATGATATTTTATTAGTTTGATATTTCTTATTAATATGATTGTATTGGAATTTAGATTAATGTGAAGACAAGAAAGTAATTTAACATGAGGCTAAATTCAAAAGAACTTGTTTACATTGCCCAGAACTGTGTAACCTGTGATAAAGAAGGCCTGCTACTGTTTAAAGAAAAGCAGGATGGTTTACTTAAAAGAGGAGAAAGTAAGTAACATCATTTATTAGAATACTAGATATTAGAATTCTCTCTATCTTTGTGAACTTCACATTGAAATCGGCTATTTCTTTCATTGCATTTTCCGGAGGTATTGTGTTTGATTCACGTCTCAACTTTTCAAGCTTGTTAACATGGTTTCTCCTTGTCAGTGGTGCAGGACTGAATGTCTAGTCTTTTGGATAGAACAAAAAACAAGGTCCTGTGTACATGTAAAAGAACCATTGACAGTTTGAATTCGACATAAACGAGTAAGGCGTAGTGCTGCTGACTGGGCAAATTTCCCTCTTAGCATATTGTAAGGTGAATGGCTTCTTCCTTTGCCCAGTTTGGTTTAGAAAGGTAAGACGTAAAATCCCATTTCATTTCATTGCACCTTGACTTTAGATTTATCATGGATGACTTTGCTTGCTGTTGAGCACATTATTTTAGAGGAAAAATCAATGTTTTCAACATGTCAGAGACAAAGAATTAGAAACCCACTAAATTTGAAAATTAGTCTTATATATTCTTATATGATATTTTGTTTATTTTAGCTTATTTAGAGAGATATTTTAGATTAAAGGGAAATCTTCTCTTTTATTTCAAGAATAAAGAATCAGTTACAGTGAGTATCAATGAAATTTCAATATTGGGAAACAATTCCAATAAATATTCTGTTAGAATTAATTTTTGCATGAAGCCAATTTTTAATGTAATGGGGATTTTGATGTGCATTCATTAAATCGTAAATGTAATAATCAGGGCTATTTATTAACCATACCTCTCTGTCTGTTTCAAGGGGGGTTTGATGACGTGCGCGTTGTATCATACGGTCTGTCATTGAGTCGACTGCCGTAGTTTCGATTCCCCGGTTGTACATGACAAGGAGTAGGGTCGCCTGTCCAACCTTGTGAGTTTTCTTTAGGTCCTCTGGTTTCTTCCCACTGCTAAAAACCCCAACGCGCAAGCAAATTATTGGAATAAAATTGAACCATATGTTAGTCCCGAAATGACCTAGTTTGTGTCAAGTTGATGTTAAACCCCATTTCTCTCTCTCTCTCTCTCTCTCTCTCTGCCTCTCTGTTTCTTGTAAAACATGTACCAGTATGTCTTGATGCTTGTTGCCTTCACCTGTTAATTGGTTACCTGTTGAGATTTCCCATGTATGAGATGAACTGTAAGAAGTTCTACAAAATGGCTGATAAATCAGACAAGATTGCTATTTGACTAAACAACAAAATATTACAGTGTGAATATATTGTGACAAGAAATTTCTTCTATTTGTAGAAATCTGAACCAATAGGGTTAATGGTATTAGAAAGATGTACAGTAGAATTAGAATCAGAAGAAGAAATACCTAATGCTTTTGTTCTTGGTAAATATTTGTTAATCATAAATTCTGGTTAAATTATCAGTCGATTAATAATGAAAATGTATTTAGTATAATGCACTTAATACCACTAAGGGTACTTAGACAATTGACACGATTATGGTCTCCAGGATAAAGATAATGCTTGATTATCCCTGCTTTACCTCTTAGCTCTTTAAGGAGCAATAATTTGTGCAACCCAAAGAGTGACACAGTTTTTTGTGGAAATAAACATCCCGTCCTACTGGCACCCATTCACAGTTTGGTAGGCTGCAATATCCGAGGGGTGGGGGGGGGGTGCCGAATGGTTAGTGCGGGCGTTCTGTATCATAAGGTCGGTCATTGAGTCTGGCGTGGTTTCGATTCCCCGGTTGTACATGACAAGGAGTAGGGTCGCCTGTTCAACCTCGTGGGTTTTCTGTGGGTTCTGTGGTTTCCTCCTACTACGAAAGACGCCTATGTGCAAGCGAATTATTGAAATGAAATTGAACCATGTTAGTCCCCCTCTCTCTCTTCGGTACAAAACTGTTTGGTCACAAATACTCTCTGTCCATCAGGTTACAATACTCTCTGTCCATCAGGTTACAAAATGGCTAATGTGTTCAACAAACCAACAAACATCTGATTGAACAAGAGAAATGATTAAAATGATATGTATAATGTGCCAACTAATTAATTGTTAATATTTAGTTTGTGAAGGAGAGAATCATGTGTTTAAATTTGCTGCTATGTCAGAAGAAGATAGAGATCATTGGATTCAGGCTCTACATATAGCAAGCTATGAATGTCTTAAGATGCAGTTAGAAAGCCTCACAGATCAACTACAGGGAAAAACTGGCAAAAATCCCTTTCCACAACAAGCTCAACAACATACAGGAATAGATTTAGATAGTCACACGGGTGCGAATTGTCTTGTTACTTCAGATCTCTAACAGCATGCTGTTATGGTACTTTAACTATTTTTATTAAATCACAGACCTCTCTCTACAACACTTGAATACTGTTTTCTATTAGATTAGATTAGATATTTATTATCACTTCTATTAATGAATGTAATATTTCCTCTTGTGGAACATTTTATTCTCTGTTGAAGCCAAGAATATATTAAGAGTGTAGTTTATGTCTTCAATATTTAAAGAAGCATTATGTAAGATTTAGATGAAGAGTTGACAGTTCTCGCTATAATAGTTAAAAAATAGATAATCAAAAGGGAATATCTTGAAAATTTTGGTCAAATTACTTCATTCTGAGTGGAGTTATGGCCATTTAAAGAACAGTGCAGTTTCGATTGTCATTGCTACCATTGTTACAATAATAAACAAAGTCTTCATTATCCATTTTTTAATTAAATTATTAACTAGCAATCGTGTATCCATGGAAAATCAAAACCACCCAATGGTCTAATTACTGATTTATATAACATTTGAGGCCAAAAGAAAAATCAGCATTAGACAGCTTTAGTTCTGACATAATGCATGTTTAAACACAACCATATAATGTTCACTAAATTCCTAGTATTAATAACTAAGCATGCTGTAAACATATTAAGCAGATAAATAAAACTGAATATGCTCTATTTTTATATATCAATTGCATGTATATGCCCTTATACTATATTCTATGTATGTATGTATATTTAGAAGAATATGCCGTGTGTGATGTAACTGCCTCTTGTGTTAGAAAAAAAAAGAACAATGATGGAGCAAGTTTTTGTAAAATATTATTTTTCTATTGTTACAGAAGATCAAGTAAATGAAGATTGTATATTAGAAATTTCATTAAGTAAGTATAGTATATAAACTTATACAATAGTTATAGTGGACAAATAATGATAGCTACAAAATAATTTTAAAGGTTTTATGATGTGCTAGACTTTTTGGTCAATACACAATCAATTGCTAATATATTTGAAGCATGTAATTGGTAATATATTTCATTTTCATGCCAAGCAACCGCCGCAAAAATTTCAACACTTGTGTCCAAACATAAAAGCTAGGGATAGATCTTGAATTACCTACCCACCTGCCCATGTTATATTGTATATATGTATGTATATTATATATAGGTTGTTTAGATTTAAAATGTGATAGTAGTGGACAGCCACCTAACCCACTTATAGTTATACATACATTAGAACCACCGGATCAGTTATTATGGTCACATCATAATCATACAGAAATAGTTGAGGTGAGTACAAATATTCATCATTAGTAAATCAGTCAGATTCAATCACATGTGGATATTTAGCAGGGAGGAGGTTTCCATGAGACCAAATAAGTGACCCCCATGAGACAAAGTCCTCTCAAGCCCAGTCCCCAAAAAATTAATAGATTGGATACATATCTGAAATTCTTTTGCATCTACAGCGCTCGATTCCATTATGACATCATTCTTCCACTCCTCTGACTAATACTGTCTCAGCACTATATTCACGGTTATAGTGAACTCAGTGTTATAGCTAGTATTTTGTTGACATTCATTGTGGGGTGGGATTGTGGATGGCGCCCTAGATTTGGTCCCCCACCCCTTAATTCCCAGCTTCTATATCCGCTACTGGATTCAGTACTGGACAGTAATTTTACCCTTGTTAAATAGAAAGCTAACAAAATTAAAACCACCAGAAACATGATATTTTTAATTTTGCTTTGTCACAGAAAACGTGTAATCCGCAGTTTTTAAAGACAATAGGATTTGGAGATGGAGAGAATGTTAATCTAATAACAAGAGTTAAAGTGACTATATATCATGTTGTAGAAAGAATGACAGGAACAGTAAGTATAAATATTATTACCTCTCTCACATATTCTCATGGTGTAAAGTCAACCAAATTTGATTATAGCATTGATACACAAGTTAAGAGCTAAATATGACTATTACAAGTCTTTCTATAGGCTTCAAATGTTATAGTAATTATTAATTAGACCTTTGTTTACATAACAAGCCCAAAATCAACTCTGTAGACCCCCGGATGCCTTGGATTTTAACAGTCATCCATTTAATAATTAAATCATTCAATGGCTGACCAAGCTAACATTTGCCGTTAATCAATGATGTCACTACCAGAGACTGCCGATGAAAGGCCTGATAATCAAGGGTACCTTAAGCATTGAGAATGTTACTTATCTAGAATATGTGGGCGGAGTTAATAGTCTGTCAATCAAATGATCAGCAATTCTTGGAGACAGTGCGGAGACAGTGATAACTTCGTTCAGAATAAAGTAATTTGACTGAAATTTTTAATATTTTCTTTTTTTATCATCTATTTTTGAACTGTTATATCAAGAATGAACAACTCTTTATTAAAATCTTAACTAATGTATCTTTAATGAGGCATAACAATTACACTTGTCCTCAAATCTAACGTTTGTAATGTGATGTAAAAAATTTATGCATTTGAAATTGAGGTAGATATTATGTGTCAATCCATATTAAAATATCAAAATTGACACAGTTATATGGGACAACAATTACTGGTTTATTATCTCTGATTGTTGTCCCATATAAGTGTGTCAATTTTGATATGTTTCTAATCGCTATATGCTACTAAAGGGTTATGTATTTTTATTAGATGGTACAGTTAGGTCATTCTATTTTTACATTACGTGATATTATAGCAGCAGAAGATAATACTTTACACCTGTCTATCAAGTAAGTATCTGGAATTCTTACCACGGTTCTTAATCCATTTTTAAACGAACTGTCATGAATTAGGTCAAATGAGATTTCGTTATAACCAGACTTCAACAAAAATAATGGAGAACGACAAATATAGGTATACCTTGCTGAAAATTCTCCATATTTAATTCAAGTACCGGCTTAAGTTCACGTCAGTAATATTCCTGAATAAATTAGTGTCTTCGTTGATTCAATGGATAAAGTGAAACACTCATAATAAGATATAGTTCATCAGTCGATTGAAATTAAGATTTTTCTACTACGGCCATTATCAAAAAATGCTGTTGCCAAAATAAGCTGATATGACACCAAGGCATTTCTTCATAACACAAAGTGTTGGTTTTGTCTATCACATAAGTTTTAATTCATTCGTAGATAACAGACAAATGGCACAATGATCATGTGACAACCGTAATTGAAATTGCTTTAAAATAAAATTCCATACATATGATATAGCCTTCAATAATAATGACAATATTTTTAGAATTAAGCCTCTGTCAGCATGTGTATAAAATAAAAAGTCCCAACGGTAAATGCTATTTTAAACTAAATCTAGCATCACTGGTTTAGTGGCCTAATTCCAACCGACGAAAGTCATGTATCATCAGGATTCGGCTTTGGAGATTCTGTCAGAAAAATATATTATTAATAACTGTTTCTCGGGATATTCAGTGTTCTATCAGTGAATCATTTCCCGAATAACATTTGAAAATAAAATAAACCGAAGAATTTAATATTTTTATTTACAGGAGTCCAGATTTACATGATTGTGGTAAACTGTGTGTTATAGGTTGGACAAATAGTGCTTTACCAATTTCTCCAGTATTTCAAACAGATAAGGTAATGCATATTTTATATACAATAAATCCACTGACAAGATTTCAACAACTATGTGAAAATAATAATAATAATGACTTATATTCAGCTAGTACTGTAAGCATTTTATTATGGGCATACATTGAAATGAAATGAAATGGAGTTTAACGTCCTACTGTTCTGCTCCGACTGGGCTAATGAAGACGGGCATACGCCATACAGTGTGCTGTGACGGAAATTTTTTCCGGGCAACAGCACTATGGCCTACTCTTATATCGGATTCCAACTGCCGAGGGATCTTTTACTTGCACGCCAATGTATACACGGGACCTCAGTTTTTTTTGTCCCAATCAAATGACTAGACAGCTGTGCTTGTCAGGTCCTTCATCCTGCACCACTGACAAGGGGAAACCCCGCTGGAAAATCCTGATAAACTTTCTCGGCCAATGCAGGGATCGAACACGGGACCTCCAGGCTAGCGAGCCAGTTTCTTACACACTTAGCCACCGTGGCTCCCAGGGCATTATACCTACAAGAGGGTATAAAAAGAAATGTTTGTGTTAAAGTTTCTTGTATTTAGGTTATATTAACTAAAACATTTAATATTCTTGTATAGTCGGTTTTTATGTCCTGTGTATCATATAACAGGATTATTTGATAAGGGCCATTGCGGCTGAATTATTGAAATCAAAGTCCAAAGATAATATTAATATGAAAAATGCTTTAATATTCTTAATTATTTTATTGTGTATGATGGAAGGAGCTGATATACAACAAGTTTCTATCATGATATCTTTTGATATATTTTCAGGAGGATGAATATATTGAGCAGGAAGTCAAATCAAAATCTATTAATAAACAAGAATATTCACCTAAAAATTTGTATGAAAATGTGATATGTAAATCATTCCGTTTCTCCACTAATTCCCAGAAGGAGGTTTTACAAGTTTATGAATATATGGCTGAGAGTCGATGGTCTTACGATATACCTCATAAATTATTGTAAGTAAATAATGATTTTACTTGTACGTAACGAAATATAAGGCACCATTGAATTCTAATCGGACGTTTTTGTATTATCAATGAAACAAAATCTTGAGAAAAAAGAAATCTATGTGTAGGACAAAGTGTCAGGTATCATAGAAATTGTATCTGACATTGTCATTGACAGGTAGCATATTTCCAAAACAGTTATTTGGTATATATAAATAAAACAATGAAAGAGTAATTACGATCTACTGTACCAGGTGCTAACTAGTAAGTTCAGATATATTCTGTTGACCCACATACACATTGCTGCAAGATGACTATTCACTTTTTATAAATTATCAAATATGATTTCAGATGTTTATTTGTTGAAGAAGAAAAAAGGAAAGTTTCACTTTTACAAGAAATGGGCGAGGTAAGAAAATCTAAAGCAAACTTTAAAGTAATGGGTGGCTACAAGAATATACTGCTATAAACGTACACATTGAAATGTAAGGAGAAATCCATATACAAATAAAAATAAGATAAAACGCTTGACTTTAAACAGTTGTCCAGTCAGTAATTGTCCTTGAAAACTGAATACAGCCAGCATCAATTTTTAAGGGCACTTTGAAATTTTAACTTTGTATTTACTTTGGCTTGCAGCTTATATTTTTAGTACTCGTGGTGCATATATAATGATAAGATTTTCTTTATATCAGCTACATGTATGACTGCACCAATATACTATAAGCAAACATGGCTTCTTTCAGCTCGTTCCTGATATTGAATCAGATCAAGTGGCATGGATCACACTTTCTGCAGCCATTGTGGAAACTTTTATTAATGCCCTGGATACACTATCAATATACAAAGGTTTTAAACTTTAAAATGTCTGCTTGACCAAACCTTGATACTGTGTATGAATCTTGAAGTGAAGTTGATTTGATCCTGTTTAACCTTGCACATGAAATAATATGCATTTGGCAACTGCCATTATTGTCCTTGCTCATCTTAAAACATCTTAAATGCTTGGTCATATATACAATCATTTATCCCTGAATATTCTATGAAAGAGTTTTTACAAAATATTTTCATTAATAATTTAGACAAGTGAAAGTTGATTAAAAATGGGAGATTTGATCGTCTATTGCCATTGTTGATCTAATAATTCTGAAGATTGATGCTAATAATAGAATGTATTTAACTGCATGGGATGATATTTTGATCAGCATGTGGGATTGTTTACTAATGATTTGACTGAATGATAGTGCACCTATATTTATATAAATTGTGTGAAATAGCTTTATTTAACGTCCGCTTCCACCGAGGTGATATCACAGACAAGTTTATATAAATATTATTCTTTCAACATATACCAGTGCTTAAAGCAGCTCCACCTTTTTGATTTGCAACAAAATAAAGTATTGAATTAGATTAATCACTAATGGGACAAGCTCTATATGACATTAGATTAATCACTGATGGGACAAGCTCTATATGACATTAGATTAATCACTGATGGGACAAGCTCTATATGACATTAGATTAATCACTGATGGGACAAGCTCTATATGACATTAGATTAATCACTAATGGGACAAGCTCTATATGACATTAGATTAATCACTGATGGGACAAGCTCTATATGACATTAGATTAATCACTGATGGGACAAGCTCTATATGACATTAGATTAATCACTAATGGGACAAGCTCTATATGACATTAGATTAATCACTGATGGGACAAGCTCTATATGACATTAGATTAATCACTGATGGGACAAGCTCTATATGACATTAGATTAATCACTGATGGGACAAGCTCTATATGACATTAGATTAATCACTGATGGGACAAGCTCTATATGACATTAGAAGACAAGATCCAGGTTGCACCAATCGGATTAAAATACACATCTATATTTCTTTTCGTTTTTTTATACTTTTGATGGCCTACACTACTGAAGATCTGACCGGTTGTAGTCGAAGGTTGCGTAGGGGTCGCACAAGCGGCTTTTGACCCTATAACGTCAGACATTGATTAATCAATCAGTGTTAACGTTTCAAGTGGTTTACCCATAGTTCCATACATTGCACGCCAAGAACTTGCCGTAACAGACCGTTTCATTGGCTAATCCCTCACTTCAAGCAGAACAGTCGTAATATATCAACTCTTCCAGATCCTAGTGTAGTAAAAGACAAGTAAAAGGAAATTTTGAACTATAACAAACGAAACGAAATTGGATCCGTGTTTTAATCAGATTGAGGTTGCACGAAACATTTCCTATTTTGGAAATACGAAGATATGTTCAAATTGCACAGAGAGGTTTCTTTAGCTCTCTTCTCCCATGAAAATCAGGTTTTTTGTCCACAAAAAGAAATAATGAGAGACAATCAAACAGCAATACTTTTATAAATGATGGATTGTACAAGGATTGCACAAGCAGTCATTCAGATGCTTATCTCGTCCATGTTGCTACATTGCATGGCGAGTTTGGCTGCAAGACATTGACACGCACGTTCTAAATTTTGATTTTTTATTACTTGTGCCTACACTTCACTGTAAAGTAAAGTTATTATAGTCACTGTTGGTTGGTGTTGATTTTCTTGTGTTGGTAAATTTCAGCTGCAATATGTTTCGCCAGTACTTGCAGTCAAACCAGTTGTGTATTTTCATTGCGTCTCAGTATATCTTTCTTAGTTTAATTCTTTAGTGATTTGTTTTTATCCCCCCCATTTTCACGTGGACTTACATTGTCGTTGCCCCTTTTCATCCGTCTGTCCACAATTTGTTTGTTGAACACACTGCAGGTCACAATTCTTATCCGATTTTGATGAAACTTAAAATATAGGTTTATCTCCAAAAGATCTCGGTTCCTTTCGATATTGGCATGTATCGGATCGAAACTTCATGGATTATGGCCCCTGATTGTACGAAAAGTCATGTCTTTAGCTTGTGGATACTCTAGAGGTCACCATTTTTATACGATTTAAAAAATGTTTAAATATATCATAGTTACACCATAATGATAATTGAATTGGAATTTTGTAAAAATCTGACTGAAACTGTCAGACAAAATGGCCGCTCTATGTACGCAAATAGTGTTAAAGTTTGTAATATCAAGGTTGTAGACCCTCTAGAAGTCACAATTTTGATCTGATTTTGATGAAACTTAAAACATGTGTTCATGTCCCAAAGATCTTGGTTCCTTTTGATATTCATGCATATCGGACCTAAGTTCCTGGATTATTGTCCCTGATTGTACGAAAAAATTGCAAAATTAGCTTGTGGTCCGAAACTGCCTCCACAAATAGTATAAAAGTATGTAATACCAAGGTTTTGGACATTGTAGAGGTCAGAAATTTTATCTGATTTTGATGAAACTTAATATATATGTTTATTATGGAGAGAGTTTGATTCATTTTGACATTCGATCATATCGGACCGTAACTTACTGGATTATGTCCCCTGATTGTAAGAAAAATCGTTTCATTTTTAACTTGTTTTCCGTCCATTTCTTGCAAAATGTGGGCGTATCTTGCATGGCAACTGCTTGTTGATATATTTAAAGCATGCTATATCTTGTGTTATATTTCAGCTAAAAACGGATGGTAAATTACTAGAGGAAATGAATACACAATGCATGAAATATATGCCTAAATATTCAGAAGTTGCGCGCTTTCTCTCGGCACATAAAGGTGATTTACTTCATATTTTATTCAAAACATAGCATAACATGTTGTAAACACATGTCACTCTAACAAATTCAATTTTACAAGTTTATTAATTCCATGATATTTCTATGGGTGCAGTATTTGAGAGAATATGAATTTTGTTTTTCACTAATAAAGACAATCTGCTTGGGAGCATGCACAACATTTTAATCACTTGTCACCAGTTACATGTTAAGATAATTAGTTGTTGAACTGTCTCAATTATTCTCTAATGTTGGCAATTTGCCCTGAGGTTAGCTTTCGAAGAAAGCAGGAAAAATTAAAAGGAGTCTGATTGTCCATCTGTCTGCCACACTTTTGCGACATAACTCTGCTTCTGATTGTTGTAAAATGTTCGATGGTGTGTATTTTCTGCTTAGGTTAAACATACATTATTTAAGAGCTAAATCTGCCTATTGCAGGTCTATCTTTAGGCCTGAAATGTTATCTCAAGTGTTAATTAGGCAGTTATAAACAAAACAAGAGCATAATCAACTCTCAATGACACTGGTTACTCAAGATTTTAACTAGATTAGAATGGTTTGCCATTTAAAAATTTAATGTAAAAATGGGAAAGCGAGGCTATGTCTCGAATATACCACAATGCACACATCTTGTCAAAACTACAAACAGTGATATCTTTTCTCAGAATAGAGTAATTTGAATGAAACTTTTCAATATTTTCATTTTGCATTATCTATTTTTGTGCCATTATAGCAAGAATGGTCAGCTTTTTAACTAAATCTTACATAATGTATCTTTAAGCAGCTGTCCGTCTGTCTGTCACACGTTTTGGAAAACAAATCTGTTTCTAATTGAGTTAGAATGTTTATGTTTAAACTTGGCAATGTTGTTCATTATGTGTATGTCTTGACTGAATTCTATGATGAAACTTTTCTGCATAGATTAAGCAGAGATAAGCAATTTGAATTAGAACATAATAACTTAGTTATATTATGTATTTTGGGATTGCGGCTGGGGACATCGGCCTCATTGTTGGCTTGTTGGCATCTGTAGATCAGCCTATTATACATCTATTAGCATGAGGCATGGTGTGCTTAACATCTGATAACACTTGGGCATTGCCATACAGTGTGCTACGAGGGAAATTTTGCCCGAAGAGTGGCGCTGTGACCTACTCTTGGTTGTCCGTCCCATCCGAACGACTACATGTTATCCCTTGTCAGGCCCTCCGTCCTGCACCACTGACAAAGGGAAACCAGGCCAGAAAGTCCTGATGAACTTTCTCGGCCAATGCAGGGATCGAACATAAGACCTCCTGGTTAGCGAGCCAACGTCTTACTCACTGAGCCATTGTGGCTCCTTACTAGAACTAAAAAGTCTATATTGAATTTCAGTAGTTGCTCTAGAGCCTAAAGTTATTATTAGCTTGCGGGAGTTTGGATGGCCGAATGGTTAGCGGGTGCGTGTTGTATCATATGGTCTGTCATTTAGTCAACTGTCATGGTTTCGATTCCCCGGTTGTACATGACAAGCAGTAGGGCCACATTTCCAACCATGTGGGTTTTCTCCGGGTCCTCTGGTTTCTTCCCACTGCTAAAGACCCCTACGCGCAAGCGAATTATTAAAATAAAATTGAACCATATGTTTGTTCCGAAATGACCTACTTTGTGTCAAGTGGAGGTAAAATTTCTCTCTCTCTCTCCCCCCCCCCCCCCATGTCTTATTGCTTGTTGCATTTGATCAGTTCTAGTTTCTTTTAAGTGCTCCCCTTACCTATAAAAGAATAAATTAAATTTGTGACAACCTGTGACAAACTTAGCTGCTGTTGGCATGTGTTTCGTTGCTTGACTACCCTTCTTGTACAACCTCTTTTCAGTACCGTTTCAATTAGATTAAAAAATTATGTAAAAAATAGATTTTTTAGTATTTCTCATTTATATGTATAATGTAATGATAAAGAATATATATGCATGGACATGATTTGAAAAGTTTGCTTTTTACAAAACATTTGTTTAACTTTCATTCATATAGATACTATACAGTTCCAAGATGAATTTATATTTATATTGTAGGTGCATACTTTAAAGCCAGTCGTGACAAGGATAATAAAGAATATCAATTTGTACCTGTTAATATACATTTACAAAGAATGGCTGTAGGTACAGAGGGATCAAAACAGGGTAAGATCATAATTACATACAATTATTTTTATATATAACTGTTAGAATGTGAGGGATAGAAATGGATCTCTGTAAAGCCACCAAATGCTTTTGATATTGTGAGACCACATATCTTGTCTATCTTATAGTTATACCCCTTTGTTATGATGTCTATATCCATCAGTCTGCCATGTAATATTACGATTTTTCTATGCCCACATTTTCATGAGAGAAACTTCCAATCAATAGAAAAAGGTAACAGAAACCAATTACAGACAGTTTGCTCACTTTCTGCGTCTTTATTTCTGCTTTGATCCATCAAAATTATAGTTAATAATTATTTTATGTACTTTGCTATTTATTACTGTATTAGAAATATTGAATGATATTAACAGTTGTTTCTACACCTGTCAAAAAGATGTTATTAGTCCTTGGTCAACCTGTATCATGATTTGTGTGACATTAAGATGATATTCTGTCAGGTATTATTCCTGTATATTGATATTCTATGTGAACATTGTATTGTAGGTACAATATATGAAGCAGTCACCATGGGGGCCTTTACTGATCATGTTCAAAAGTGGAAAAATGGTGGATTAAAGAGACTTCTTCAATCTCAAGTAGATCTATATACACCACAGAGTACACTTGGACAAAAAACTAAACTACATAAAGCATGTAAACTACTTAGTGATTTAGCTGAATTAAAATATGTCATTAATTTAGGCTGTGAAAAGTTATGCCAAACTCTTATAAATGAATATATGGAAGAAGTTCAGGCTAGAATTGATTTTATAGCAAATAAGGTAAGTTTAAATAATATTTAAAACATGTTATATTTTGGCGCACTTTTGTTTAAACAAAGTCCACGAATATGATTGTCATTATGTATTACACTTGCAAGATGATGATTGGTCCAGCTTTATCAAATGAAATGGGGTTTAACTCCCTACTGTTCTGTTCTGATTGGGCAAATGGAGATGGGTGTACACCATACAGTGTGCTATGAGGGAAATATTGCCCAGACAGCAGTGTTACAGCCTACTATAATATTGCCCAGACAGCAGTGTTACAGCCTACTATAATATTGCCCAGACAGCAGTGTTACAGCCTACTATAATATTGCCCAGACAGCAGTGTTACAGCCTACTATAATATTGCCCAGACAGCAGTGTTACAGCCTACTATAATATTGCCCAGACAGCAGTGTTACACTATAAGCCTACTCTAAGTAGTACTCTTATTTTGAATTCTTACTGTCACACCTCATTCAAATGACTAGACGGTGTCCTTAGATTGGGAAAACCACTCAGGAAAATCCCTAGGAACTCTATCAGACTCAGCTGCTGCAGTTTTACAATGTGTCTGTGTGCAATTATTGGTTGAAAACAAACCATGATAATTAGCAAAGTTATCACACGGAATTAAACTTCCAATCAGATTTCAGTTAGCTCCTTAAATATTGCTGGATCCCAAACTGAATGTCGTCATTTACCGCGAATTAGCAAAGTTTTTGCGCAGACAATGGACCAAAAATTTAAAGTCGCTGATCATTTAAGTGATTTGGAAACTTTTACAAACTACAATATTGTGAAAGTTAAAACTCATATCTATCAAAATTCGTTGGTCAAGTTATTACTTGAATGTCTTGACTGAGTTTGATGATGAGCATTTTCTGCTTAGGCTAAGCACAGATAAACTATTTGATTTGTTGAGGCTTTAGAACATGATAACTGTTGTTCTATATGGAGAGTGATAAAAATTTGGTGAATAGTTGCGTTACATCAATACCTTGTCTAATTTCGATAATGAACGTAAAGATCAGTAATTTTATTGGTTGATGTTATTGACCAGTGGCCAGTTAAAAGGATTTCACAAATTCAATCAAAGACTGAATTCAGTGCAATGTTTTATTGTTTATATTGTAGTCAAGGAAACTTGTTGAACTATGTGATGAACCACTACTACAAACATCTTCAACAGAATATTCCCACGCTAAAACATCAGCTAGTCATGTAGATGGTAAAGATTTAGCTGCATCTTTAACTCATGTAAAAGATAAGAAGGAGAAATCTGAACCTGCAGACAATGGTGATGGTTCTTCTAGCAGGTCTTCTCTGTGGTCAGGAAGTAGTCTCGCAAAAAGTCCAACTCTAGAACCTTGGGTATGTATGTGTGGAGTAAGAAACGAAATAATTAAACGTACACTTGATTCAATCTTGATTGCTTTTTTACCTTTTTTGCCTGTTATTGAAAGGTTTCATACCGGTATCTATAGTGTTAATAATGACGAGTGATAGACCCAGAAACGTTTGGTGGATTTATATGGTTATTTCTATTCAGTTTTCTGACTTTTTCGAAGGTATCACTCCATATGAACTGGACCAATGGTTGGAATAGGACCCCCTCCAAAAAAGTTATAAAAAATATATGTTACTGAATATGGCCTTAAAGTAACAAATCCAAAATTTTACCTCTCTAGGTCATATAACATATATACTGAGTGCCATGGAAAACGCATCACTTAGTTTTTCGTATAACAAAATGATCCTGTAAACATATCTTATTTATTTTGCTTCTTATTATGAACAATATTCAAATGGGAACACATCAATAACAACACATTTGTAAACTTATGGATGTTTAATCTGTAATCAAGGGTACAAAGTCAGAGGGGTCAAAACCAAAAGTACGACACAGATGTCAGTAGCGCGTGTGTCCTCCACGGGCCATCATTACGGTAGGCTACAGCATTAACGCGACCCCTGCAAATGTGTATGGCGGTCCGGTGATGAAATGTGAAGCCTCCCCACACCATTACACTTCCCCCAACCCATCAATTCGTTTCGAAGACGCAGCAGTCTGCAAGACGTTCCCCAACGTGATAAAGATGAAAGTGTTTGGCAATAGCTCGTGTAGACATGCCAGCCCTGGACGTTCCCATGGCTTCATTCCGTTGATTTTCATTAAGTCTCGGCCTCTCTAGCTCGATTCCTTCACACGTGCAACAACAAATTACGACAGATTGACGTTTCACAGTTCATGTACTGCACATTAAGTTGAAAACATGCTTTTAAAGGGCTCACACACAATGCTGCACGTGAATATTGGGTTTTTCATGTGCATCTCGTGCAATTTTTTTTGTGCACACGGGCCGATATTGTTTGCGTTTGGGAGCATTGTATGAAACAATAGTTCATAGTATTGCACAATATTATACATACAAAACCACCTAGTAATAAAATATTTGGGGAAAAAAAGTGATGCGTTTTCCATGGCGCTCAGTATATTTTAAAAAAAATTTTTGAAGGGGGTCATGTTCTGAAATTTGGTCCACTTGCCATGGAATGACCCATATTTTCCACCTAAAGAAGATTGATTGTTCACAGATTTTATTGTAATTGTTATAGGAAGTAACAAGACTGAATTTAGAAGCTGCTGTTGTATGTCTTATATCTAAAGTAGAGGAAATGTTGAAATGTAAAAATAACAAGGAAACAACCTCATGGTTAAGTGATATCAGTCCAGCCATAATTAAATTACAGAGTTTTGTGGAGATAGTCTTTCAGAGAGCTAATTTATTTCTAACATTTTTATCACTCAGGGTAAGTAGAATTAAAGTTTTCAGTTGAAATTGATTTTATTTAAAAGACTGCAATTTTTCTTTTTTCTACATGGATGTGCCTTATTACAGCATTCTTTACATTATAAAATAGTACAATCTGATTAAAATACAAATCTATATTTACGTCAGTTTCCATCAATTACGTCTAGAGTTATGGATCTTGTTTTACTTTGTTCAACCCTGTGAATGCTCGAGCGACAAATGTTATCATCCAATCTGTATGAAATTTATATGCATTATTTAAATTAGTAAAACAAAATTTCAACAATTTCTGTAAGTTAGTTCCAGAGTCAAGGCCCTTTTTCCAGTTTGTAGAACCTTGTAAACCCACAAACCACGAAAATTCTAATCTGATCTATATGAAATTGCAATCTGATTAAAATACAGATCTATATTTTGTTTCATTTTTTTATACTTTCGATGGCCTACACTACGTCAAGATCTGACCGGTTGTAGTTGAAGGTCGCATCAGATGTCATATGAGCGGCCTTTGACCCTATGACGTCAGACAGTCAGACATTTGATTAACCTTGATGTTTCTAGTGGGTTACCCACAGTTCCATGCACCTCATGCCAAAACCTTGCTGTAACAGACCATTTCATTGGCTAATCCCTCACATCATCCAGAATGCAGGTTATATAACAACTCTTCCAGATCCTAGTGTAGTACAGACAAGTGAAACAAACTTTTGAACTATGAAAAATGAAACGCAATAGGTTCTGTGTTTTAATCAGATTGAAAATAGTACATATTTTTAACTTTTGAGATGTATGTTAATGATCCTGGTTGTTGTGCTTTTCACATCATTGAATACTGTACCTTATTTCACATCATTGAATATTGAACCTTATTTTCAGGAAAATCGATTCAACATAAAAACTATGCACTCCATAAAGTACAGAAGAGATGTAATGACTACACATTCAGTAAGTAGGGTTTATGTTGGTGTCTAGTACTATATTAAAGATACATTCCCGCATACAAACTGGGTGATTTGATGATATATTTGGACTAAAAACATATTCAAACTAATTAATTTATCATAATTTTGCTTCAAATCCTTCACAAAATATTGCAATTGCCAAGGAATACCCTTACTATAAAAAAATTGATCAAAAGAGATCATATTTGTGTCACATGACTTACTCTCTCGGTAACTAGCAACGGGGGCGAAGTCGGAGGAGAATTCATTGCATACGCAAGACGATGTTGTCTTTAATCGCTGACTATTTATTAGAAATATCGAAGCCTAATTAAATTCTTGGATTATCCGCTGCCCAAGTTTTTTTCCGTGGTTTTTAACTAAGAAACTGTTGTACATCTAACTCTTTATAAAGTTTATCAACATCAAGCGCTCAATCTCCTCGTGTGACCTTTGACGTCACGTGTGCAGACTCTCCTAATCGTCGGGCTGTCGATTAGGAAACCCTTACAGTTTTTCCTGTATGCGCTCCACGAGTGTTTTTCAGGGCATCCAGTATATTTCTAGTAAGATTGGATATTTCTACTTTCCATAAATACCAAAATCGACATACTTTTATTGGAAATAAACACCCGATAAATACTTTTCTGGGAACGTATCTTTAACATTAAATGACTATTTAAGGCTATATTTAAGGCTATAATTTACCATGGAGACAGAAGTAATTTGGCAGTTAGATATTAAATAGAGTGTAAGATAGTAATACAATTAGTTTTCTATTCCATATATTACTATATACCAGTAGATTGTTTCCAAGATTCTATCCAGATTTTCGCCCTTAAACCTTAAAATTGTTTGACGATCTAACTCATGACGTCAACTGGCAGACTATCACCATTGAAGAGACGACCACTGTCGCATTATTCTGTTACGTCATTTTGTTTCGTTTTGAGTGAAGCGTGTACCATTATAGGCCCAGGACTGTACAGGCCCCGGATCCATTCACTTGATTTGATATTTGTTTATTTTTTGCAGTGTCAATATTCTGTCTTGTCCGTAGGTTTATGTTGTAGATTTTTGTTTTGTGTGTAGTGCGGTCCTCCTGCACTTACTATTAGATATACATTAAAATGACATATTGAATTGGATTAATGTTTTGTAATGGGACAAACTCTATACAATTAAAATTTAAGATATTAATTGGAAGTGGGTTTACTAATTTTACTTTTGTTTCTAGTGTAAACTGTTGATTGTGGAACACAAAATCAGTTACTGTTATATCTACATATCAAATTTACTTAAATCAACATTTTTAGTTTTACCCAAAACAGAGGTTTAGTCATTTTAAGGATAATTTTTGAAAATTAATCATAATATATATTTTTTTTCTTCAGATTTCGACCCTTTTCACCGGAATAATATCAAAAGTTTATAATTACAAAGACAATGTTGACTATTTTACACGTATCAGTAAGATTGGATTGTTGGCAAAGTTTGAGGGTTTATTAAGTTGCTATGGTGATGAGATGGGTATGTTAGAAGACATGTGTGTAGCTGTAGATGATTTATCAACTGTAACATTTTCATTTACACTATCACGAGATGGTACAACAACTACAACACCATCTTTACAAAGGTACATGTTTCACTTTTTACTTGCAAACAGGGTTTAACATCCACTCAACTTTAACTAGGGGGATACTTGATTGAACGTTTCGGAATTAATTCTCTAAATTTCAAAAATAGTGTCAATCGAGTAAAAAAGAGAATTTTGGAGTACACAATGCATGTGCCAAATGCATAAAGAAATATCTCGACCATATTTGTTACTTAAAAAACGTCACGGTTCCACCCACACCACCTCAGCTGTCGGGACTGGCAGGACTGTGACAGGGCTGAATTCTAATATTACTTGATTGCAATTCTGTCAATTCAGGACGTTCCAGACTGACAATTGAACACCCCCTAGATCTAACATTTTGTATAATTTTATTTCAATAATTTGGTTTCACACAGGGTTTTATTCTTTAGCCATTAATGGAATAGACAGATCTGGAGAAAAGCCCTGACAGGGTTCTGCAGGTGACCCTCAGGTGACCCTCAGGTGACAGGATTAAACCCATCACATACATATACATATCACACCTTACATGTTAACACAAGCTGGCCTCCCAACATTTTATTTTGAAATATGAATTAACATTAGATTTGATGCAGAGAAGTAACCAATATATATTTCGTTGTATGTGTTTTCTTGAAAACAATATTCTCAAATTTGGTTACGTTAGCTGGCATGCTGTCATTTTTATGGTGATAAGCAAGGTGTCTAAAATACATAATACTTTTGACTTGTTTAATGAATTTAAATGTTTTATTCTCTTCTTATTTATCTGTCAGATGTTTAAAGAATGGCAGGTTTCCAGATATTAATAGGTACAGTAACATTCTTAGTTTTCATGTTTTAAAATAATCTTAAAGTAAGCATAACACATAAAAAATGACAAATAAAGATTGTTATAAATTGATCATATTATAGAAATATATTATTACCTTATACCTGAACAAAGATAAAAATAGAACAATATAATATAAATAATCTATAATTCATCCATGCTCAGATTGATTAAGAAAATAAAATAACAATAACAACAGTATCTAATCTCTTGGTTAGCAATCAATCAGAGTATCAAAAAGATTATAGATGGCAATGACTTGTTTTCATCATATCCCTGTTATGTCTCCAGTAGATGCCAAATGTTGATAGATTTTCATACCCTAAGTCTCTAACTCAATATCATCCAAAGTCTTCAACATCGAAAACACAAATTATTTGTCAATTTAAATCAACATTGATGTTGTTATCTTACCGAGAAAAGATGAGTTTCTGATATCCTATATTTAAGACAAAATAAATATTTTACCATTGTTACACAAATTGTGTACCATAACGCATTTCAACACCATTTGTAACAGGGGCCTCAAAGAACAAGGCTAGACATTCCACAAGTCATGTCAAAGGGGGACACCATCTTCTTATCTGGAGATCATGCGCAGTAAATACTATCGGTGTAGACTGGAATAACCAGATGCTAGATATTACCATTTGATTGAGACTTCTGACATATTTTGCCAAACATAACTGATTTGAAATTAGAGTAAAAACGGAAATGATTGAATGTAAATGAGTTTATATACATTCATATTGCATTATTAAATGCGTTGCAACCCGTTTTTGTCAATTTCTAGTCCCAAATATTAGCGATTTAGTTCCTTTAAATACACAATGTAAGCTTTTAAGATTACAATTCATGTATTGCAGTTTGGAAGGAATTAAAAATCTGTTAAATGATGATAATATTTTTTGTTTGTTTACCAGACACTGTATTCATATGACATTGGGTGTATCATCTGATCTGTATGATAAACTACCATCAAATTTACAGAAAGGTGATGATATAAAAGTTATACCAGTATTATTTAATATAGGTATTAATGAACAAGCTACATTAGCTGAAAGGTATCTTATTATTATCTTATTATTATCTTATTATTCACTCAATTTTTATACACCCACATTTTCATATGGATGTATATTCTCGGCCCTCAATTTGTTTGTGGACAGTCTACAGGTCACAATTTTTATCTGATTTTGACTTGAAATATAGGGTTATCTCCCACAGATCTCGATTCCTTTCGATTTTGACACATATCGCATTGTAACTTCCTGGATTATGGCCCCTGATTTTATGTAAAATTGCTTTTATTTTTTAGCTCATTCTCTGTCCATCATTGCAAAATGTGGGCGTATCTTGCATGGCAACCGCATGTTTTACAAAAAGTAAATAAAAAATTGAAACTTTGATTATAAGTGAAATTGACCATTTCCTTTTCATTTTGTTGATATATATATTTAAAATAATTACTGAGTCACCATATTTTCTAAACATGTCACACTTTCTGTCATCATTGATGTAGTCAATTAACAGCAATCCTAAGAACAAAGCATTCTTAAAACTTCATTAAATTCATCAAATGTTTACAGAACTTTATGAAACTTTGACAGAGGTTTCAATCTGGTTAAAAGTGTATGCCTATATAAATGATATCCAAAACTATAAAATATTGTATTTTGTGGGAAAATTTATTTTACCAGTCTATGTTTAAATCCAGATTACAAAAACATGTATTTATTACAGATTTGGAAGTACAAACTTACAAGATCAAATAAATACAGAAAGTGTAGCCATATTATCACATTATTATGAAGATTATATGAAACATTTTGCAGATCCTGGTAAGTCAAATGAAAGATTTACAAATAATTATGGGTTTTTTAATTTTAATTACTTTTCGATCAATATATTTATAACTGTATTTATTGATAAATTGTTTTATTAATTGTTGAATGAGAATAGAAATTTTGAGTCTGTTAAATAGTCAGTCTTTTATTAAGATTAATAAGTCTTAGTGGAAATGAGTATGCTCTAAGCTCTAATAAACATGGTGGGGTGGGGGGGCAGAATTATTAGTGCGTACGTGCTGTATCGTATGGCCTGTCATTCTGTCAACTGGTGTGGTTTCGATTCCCCACTTGTATGTGACAAGGAGTAGGGTCCCTGTCCAACCTCATGGGTTTTCTCCAGGTCCTCCAGTTTCTTCCCACTGCTAAAGACCCCTATGCACAAGCAAATTATTGAAATAAAATGTATGTTAGTCCCAAAATGACCTAGTTTGTGTCAAGTGGACATTAAATAAACCCCATTTCTCTCTCTCTCTCTGTCTCTCTGATTAACAGACAAATGCTAACTATGAGCTCACAACAGATTATTTGTATTATTATGTTACAAGTTTTAATTAAATGTCCTGGATTGTAATGTTTAATATGGTTGTATTTATAGGAGAGAAATCTACACAGGCTTATATAGGTAGATTAATACAACAGTTAAATACAACTATTATTAGTAAAAAAAGTAAAAATGTTGAAATACTACATATAGCTGAAGAGGTGAGTCTTATCTTAAAACCAAGATTATAAATCCAATTCCATCCAAATCAGAGATATCTTAATGAATATAAAAATACTATGCTCTATGCCGCCTTATGTTGAATTTTTGGCAATTAATTAAACAATAGGCTATTTTAATATATAAAACCAAAGATATTTACTCCCTTGGTGAAACTATAGCCTAGTTGGAAAGTAATTTATGTTGTAATTACAGTTATGTCGTAAATTAGATGGGGTACATTTTGTTAGTTGTAAAAGTGGAAAGGATCGTACATCAATGGCTGTAACGTTACAACAAGTGCAGATATTACAACAAGAACATGATCTAGCATCACATGTATTCTGGCAGGCCTTAGATTGCTTTAGAAGGTAAGTTAAAACTGCCCTACCACAATAAATAGATGACACTTATTAATTACTATCTAGCAAACATATTTACTTGCTTAACCCGAGTAGAAAATGCTGATTATCGAAATTAGTCTAGGTATTGATGTAAAGAAACAATACACCAGGTTTCACCACTCTCGCTTAATTAGAATCATAGTTATCTTGGCCCAAAGCATTCATAAATAAATTTGATTTTCTATTAAAGAAGAAAATGTTTACCATCAAAGTTAGTCTAGACATATACCTTATAAACACTTACATCAGGTTTGAACATTCTACATCAATCAGAAGCATTTACTGTTTTCTAAAAAATGGGACAGACAGACCCATATTAATAGGTTATAAAAGGCAGGGGACAAAAATCTAATTTAAATTGGAAGATGCATAAATATGAATTAGTAAATTTTGTTTATAGTCTGCTGTAATTTTTCTGTTGATTTATTTTACCTCAGTCTGAGTTATACTCAATTTCTCATTAAATTGAAATGAAATAAATCCGTTCAGTAGCAGTTGACAAAAATTCCTCTTTTGTATGAAGGTGTCCTAACATAATATGAACCCAGGTAAAACAAAGACTCTTGCATCATTGCCTTTGAAGTTAGCATATAAACAGACTCTATGGTTAAAAGTTTTTTTATTTCTCTTTTGAGTGTCGGGTATATAATAACAACCATATTTTTCCTTGTTATTAGGATATTACGATATTGTAATGATATTATAAAAGGAAAAAAGATATCAAAATTGAGTTTTATGTTATTTTATTTCAGTGTCGGATGTCGAAGAGAAAATACACTGAAAAATGCTGGAATGAAGAAATATGCCTTTAATAGTTTACAGTTATTATCTTTTCCAAAATTATACAGACCACCAGGGGGCACTTACGGCAATGTACAAACTTAAAGAGGATGTTGTCGTTTTTAACTAGGACCACTTATGAAAAACACACATATTTTTGATTTGATATAATATTTGAATTTACCATTACATTGTGAATGTTCATGTTAGTTTTTATTTAAAATATGACAGATTTATATGATTTTGTAATAAACTAAATACATATTAGTTATTAATAATTTTAAAATTTTAATTTATACCAATTATTAGAATAGAAACAAAGGACTGTTTTTAAATGAAATTCTAAGTGATTTACTTGGTCTGGCATACTGCATGACCATATAATAAAAGTTAGCAGACATGGTAGTTTAGTTAGCAGACATAGTAGTTTAGTTAGTAAAATATAATTGAAAATAACAGGATCTCCATATTTTTATGTTGTATTGAAATATATACCTTATGCCTTCAGCTCAATTCAAGTGCAATATTCCTTAGAATTTTATATACAGTGTTCATTTTATTTGTTAAGATCATTTCTGTACATTTTTAATTTTAATTACAATTATGTAGATATTTTAAATATCTTTAATTAAACGTCCAAAACTATATTACCTGTGTAAATCATAGAATGTAATATTTTTTATAATAATATAAATCATATGATTAAATCTGTATTAATGATGTGTGAACAGTAGTAAGGGAATGTAAACTTTTAATTGTCAGTTCCTCATTAGGATTGTCTCCAGCTCACTTTTTACTGCAGTCCATTGCTTACTATAGTATTTTAAAATACAATTATGTAAATTTGCACATACATATATATTTCCTGTTAAATATTCAAATATTTTTTTGTGGTATTTAAATTGTTAACATTTGTAAATAATAAAATTTAACGAATATTATGAAACTGTTTATTATGAAATTGCCATCGACATAAGTGTTCTTAGAACTGGCATCATCTTGTTCCATGGAAATTACATCACATGATAATGTCATGTGACTATAAATAAGCAAAATGGAAGCGAATGAAGACACCGTCTTTTAAAATGTTGATAATGATGTATTAGTAGAATTGTGGTAAGACCGACCATGCCTTTGGCATGCTTCATCTAAGGTATTTGCCATCACGTGATGAATAAATTAACAGTCACGTTGTAAGTATAATCGCTATCAGTTCCATGTCGACATGAGCGCTCTAAATTCAGTTGCTGATATGATCGACATAAGCACACTTGCAACTGATTTGACCTAGTTCCTTTGAGTTGCAAAGTCAACGTAAGTCCTCCTTATTAAAACCCCCCTGCACATCATAGAGCTACACCCTTTAGTAAAGATTTATATTACAGACACCGATTGAAATAGCAATTGAATGGATGAAATAGACAGGAAAATGAACTGGCACAGATAATAAACACTTTTAAAACAATATAAAAGATATATTTTATGGATAACAAGTTTATTAACAATTATAGATGTAGACAATTAAAAAATGGATGTAAATCATTTTAAAAGGCAACATTTAGATTAATCGTATTAAAATACATGTACAGTGTACTTTTTTTTTTTTAATTACATTAGACTGTTTATAAATGATCCTGGATTTTATATTTTGTGACATTTGTTGTTTTTTTTTTATTTTACTCTTTGGTATTTAAGTACATTTTATTTGATACATAATTTGGCATGCTTTTTAGAAAACAAGTGGTTTCATAATTGTTATATTTCAGTCATACAAAATATACAAAAATATGTGCACACTTACAAAAATAATACTTTTTTAAATTTCCTAAAAAAAACAAACTAAACAACATCAAAAAAACTAATATTTCAACATGATATTTATATCATTAATTTTCAGTGAATTTCTAATGCAATACATTTTCATAATTAATTACATTGTGTAAAAATATCATTTAATGAATCAATAAAATAAATGATTTAGAGTAACTTCATTTTATAGGCTATATTTAAAAGTGTAAATAATTTGAGTAGATTACTACAGTATATTTGTATGTGTTATCCTATTATTGGTGCCTTCACAACCTTATTGTCATCATCAGTAAATATTCTAACACGATCTGGATGATAATCCATTGTAACAGCTGACAGTTCTGGTAATACTTGTATCTGGAAATATAATTGTAAAAATAGGTTGCCAGACAACAAAATATATCGTCTTTGATTGGCATTTAGTAATTGAACATATTAGCACAAATTACAATTTTATGGATACACAGTTACTGAATTTAGTACTATGTGATGTCTCGACGAGTCATAACAATGAGTTTCCTTGTCGAAATGCTGAATAGTAATAAACTTGGTAATTGTGTATCTATAAAATTGAACCTTATGTTAAAAAAAACGCCAGCAGTTAATTAAGCTGTCTAAAGCTGAAATTCGCCTGAATCAAACATGTTTGATATATTCGGCCAAATTATATTCGCATAGTGTGTCCGCTTCGCTGAAGCATTCGCTCGATTGTAGAATTCATTAGCCAATCACCACTCATATTGAAATGATATGAAATGAAATGGGGTTTAACGTCCTACTGTTCTGCTCCTATACTGGGCCAACACTCATATTGAGAAGTCACATAATTGTTTGAAGACATGGCCGCTGCCATGTTTAATCATGTGACATGAAAGGTGATGCAATCGACTGGTAAATCGGGCGAAGGATTCGCCTAGTGTGGCCACTCATTTGGCTGCAATTTTCAAAATGTATTGAAATTATACACCACTGAATTTAGGGAAGCCGTGATGGCTCGGTGAGTAAGGTGCTACCTCATTAACCAGGAAAACACTGGAGTGTTGATCAAGCAATCTGAGTTTTGATCAAAAAAGTACCTCACATTTATCCAGTGGACACAACAAAAATCTTAGGTCCCCTGTACAGATGGCATTTAAAAAAATAAGTAGGCATTAGCACCGCTATCCGAGCCAAATTCCCCTCTGTAACACACTGCATCTTCAAAAGTCATATTGGTGTTAAAAAGTAGAATTAACATACAATCAAAGTTGGCCAAAGAAAAATATGCTCATATTAAAACCAAGTCAAGACATTTCACATAATAATTATCTGCACAAGTTTATCTCAATTAGAATCCGGGTTATGGACAAACCCACTTTAATAGTCCGCTGTGAGGGACAAAAAGCTATTTAGATTATTGTGTGTTGAGTAAGAGAGATAATGTCTAGTTTTATGATTTTATAAGATGGCCATAAATAACATTTGTAAACAGTTGTTTATGATCACATGTAACTCAAGTAGTGGCATTATCTACAAATTTTTAACACACCCAAAACTACAAACCCCATGTTCCTGAAGCAATGACTGTGAGTTTTACATCTAGCCGTTGCTAGATTAGTCTGAAATAACCAAACTTATATAGGTATGTTATCTCCCTTTGACACAGACAAATGAACAATTGCGTTGTCTAATCAGAGGTTGTGACACAAATACACTCAAATCAAACATGGGGACCTCCACGGAAAGCTTGAATTTAAATGAACCTTGAACTTTACAACTCGATTATCACAGATAGACATTTTAACTGGAAGGCAGGAGACTCAGTATTCCTGTTGATATTTTCTATCGAGGAATCTGTGAGGTCCTCAGCTGGGTCAGTAGACAAACAAATTACAAAAATAAATCTTAAAGTTATTTATTTTTTCTTTTAAAAATTTGTTGGAAACTCTAAATGAAAAGAAAGTTCATTGATGCACCTAACTAGTTTAAAGGTAATCCCCCATCCAATGTTTTGAAATTTTGTATCGCCATAGGTGAGTTATAGTCCATTTGAATTTGATGGTGCATTTATTATAAATACAAATCCTGTAGAATTTGAATTTGTAGGATAGTTTTGATAGATCATTTCTATAACACATCAATGTATTTGCACCAGGGATGCTGTTTTAAAATATTACACTAAAAGGGAACTGGAACCTTCTCATCCCTGAATACATACCATAATATTTTTATAATCTTTCCTGATAATCTCTTCAGCTTCTTTCCATGGCTGAAACATTGAACTAAATTTAGCACAAGATAATTTCCTATAGTGAGGGCTTCATATTAAGGGGAAATATGCCAGAATGAAAATAAAATAGACAGATTGTACAATTTACAGATCAAACTATGTATTAGTCCAAAAAAAAAAAAATCAAATCAGTCAGTTCTTAAACACATGCTGTGATTGATTTAAGATCAGTTGTGCTTGTGTCACGTAAGTTTTAATGCAGGAGTTTAGGAAGTGACCACATATGGCACCAATGTACTGATATAGGTTTTTTTTCTCTATAAAAAATGTTATAGTTTCTGAAGTGGGTGTGATTCACATTTGGTCACTGTGCACTGTAAGATGAAACAAATAGATTCATCCCCTTTGAGGAGGCATTGTATACTACAGAGTTTCTGTCAGGAAATAAATAGTACACTCAAAAAAGCTCCTTTTATAATTATTCATTAACTTTTGTTCATAACTGCATGGTTAAATTTACTGTGGTAAATATGAAATTGTAATACAGGACTAGGAAAGACCACTGTTTGATTGAATTTTTCTCCCGATCATGGCAGGCCGATACTATGAAAAAGCAAATCAAAGTGTTGATCTAAAATCAAATAATCAAATAAAAACTCATTGATCGATCATTTAATTTCAATCACCCACAAACAGCTCAATCTTAATTCTTAATCCCCTACAACCCCCTTATAGTTTTCTGCTAACCGTATGTAAAAAAAAAAGAAAAAAAAGAAGACACTATATACTTAAAGTAATACTTACCAATCCAACTACTTCTGGCCACTCTGTTTTGGACATGTTTGAAAATATGAATATCTATGCAATGCACACAGAATAGAACAATCCTTCTACACCGAACTGAGCTTTTGATCAACAGAAAGTTTTTTACCCAGTAGCCTACACGTAGCTTTCTTAAACAGTGAGTGATAGTGTGAAGTATATTCCTAGTAGTAGTTATGAAATTTTACAATGTCTAGATCAAAATTTATGATTAAGATTAAGGAGTTTTATTTTATTGCACTTCAAATTTGGCGTGGTTGCCACCATAAAACTTGGACACCATACCACTACTACGCTCTTCAGAGTAGTAGATTCAGTTTAACCCGAATTCATGTATACTATTAGTATTACTATAATAATAACGTGTAATGTGACAGTTCAGAGTCTTCTTTCGATTTTATGATCAATTTAGTTGTAAGGGAGGTAACTCCATTTAATTAATTTTTTCATACTATTAGTCCAACATTTCACGGTAAAGATCTTGATTAACAAAAGAAAGTGTCGTCTGTTTAATATTTTGGGTTTCTGGTTGAGAAATTGATTTTTTTTCTAGAACATTTAAATCTATCCCTTGCTATTTCTTTTCAATGTACGGTAGATCTAATTCCTAAATATTAACGTTTCCGATGATGTCGACGCACTTCCGGTGATACACAAGTAAATAAATCTGACAACGTGTAGATAGAAGAAACTGACAAAATTTGTATTAATGTGACTACTTTGTACAAATAATTTAAATCAATTACATACTATAGTGTGGTGTGTGTAATTTCAAGATATATTTAAATTCGATCTCAGCACACCGGTGAAGCCACGTCTATCTCAACTGGAAGGAAGTGGAAGAAGACACAGTTCGCCAAAAAAATAGTAATATAAGAAGATCATAAGTGTCAATTCAATTTTAGTAAATCTAAAATAATAGATCTACCCCTCCGAAACTAATACTCATGAAGAGTATGACTAGTAATATCTGACATTTAACCTTTCATTGATGAAAAGTAGAATCCTTCTTTACCAGTACCAGTGTATGGTCGTACAACTTAATAATTTCGATTTTTATAATTAATTTGATTTTGAATAAGAATTCCATACCCAAGTAGGATTTGTATTATCATTTCAAGGAAACATTTTGTTTTACTTTTCAAACTTATTCTTTCATTCTAATTGTTACATTGACCTGATATAATCAAATATGATGTTACCAACATTAAAAAACATTTGCTCGTATATGTGTGTGATATTGACAATATGGACAGTACTATCATCAGTTGTTGAAGCAGTGGAATCAAAAAATGCAGATTCGGTAGGTACACGTATGGATGGATTTCATTTAACTTATATGCCATCATCCAACTTGGATTGGATTGTTATTTTTAATTGTAATTTGATTGCTCAATACTTTTCAAAAAGATAAATGTGCAATTGATTAATATGTCAGATTGTCAGTGTCTTCTATTTTTAGCCTTAGGGGATATCAGCCTCACTTTTGGCTTGTTTCTCATTAATTGTCTATTTTTGTACTATTCATAGCAAAAACGACTGACTGGTTATCTAAATCATACATAAGGTATCTTTAATGTAATTTGTGATCCATGTAGGTTACATTACACATTAATTCTAACATTCAGTTTTTGTCTTGTTTTACAGTAGATACATATTTTATTATTAGGCTTATTCTTTCTTTATTAGGACTCGCATGAAGACATTTCTGATGTTGGTGATATTATACATGGAATCCGAACGAGGAAAGGAAATCTGGGATTCATCCATGCCTTCATTGCATCCTTATCTGTTATTATTGTATCAGAACTGGGGGATAAAACATTTTTTATCGCAGCCATTATGGCAATGCGTCATTCCAGAGTGACCATTCTTGTTGCAGCTCTTGGTGCCTTAGGTGTAATGACAGTTTTATCAGGTAAGAAATTATTGAAGATAATCAGTTGATTTGTGTGATCAAGTTTAGTGATGTCCTATTACTCCACCAATAACAGGCTATAACTCCAATATTTATCAGCTACTTATATTTAACGTTGCTTATTTTACTGCACTCAGATGTGTAGCCTATATGAAATGGGTTTATTTAATGTCCGCGATATATTTGTAACTGTGTAAACTATAAATTAATATCAAGACAACCACACTCATAATATATTTTATTTATAATTTATTCATACAGAGTTTTAGTAATATGGTTTATTGCTCAGTTTTGGGGGTAATCTCTAATTATTGTATATATTTCAGCACTGCTTGGCTATGCTACTACAGTTATACCTAGAAAATATACATATTATGCATCTTCCATACTGTTTGCTATATTTGGTCTAAAAATGTTAAAGGAAGGTAAGTCAGGCTTAGACTCAATAATAAATACAGGTAAATCCTGTAAATGTTTAAAAAGCATGGATGCTATTTGGTGCTATTTAATAGCCTGTATATGCCGATCATGCCCTATGCTATTTTCCAAATGTCCGACCGGGAATATGCCCAATTGGATATCAAGATACGGTTAATAATAATCAATATTCCAAAATTAATTGACTTCACTGGGTATATAACTACTACTCGTACTGATTAACGTTGATAATAGACTGGATTGATTAGGTAATTGATGATGAGTTAGTTGTATTTTACGTCCGCTTCCACCGAGGTGATATCGCAGACAAGTTAGGTAATTAAGTGATCAAACCATTTATGGTGTTAAACACCTACCTTAATTGATTTTAATCATAAAACTACTTAATCTGTCTTGATCTGCTTTACCTATTAATCCTGAAACAATTCATTGTTTCTCCATTTTAATCCCCTTGATGTTGATCCGCAAGATTAAAAGTATTCAAAGATCAGTCAATAAACTTGTAAGCTAACCTTTAACAGTCATTCAGTTCTCGATCTAAGTAATTAGTAAGAACGGTAAGCTCGATAATTATGCACAACGCAATAATTTTAATCAGTAACCATTTCCCTTCGTAGAAATTGACCACATGTTTCCATCTGGCTTTGGCACCCCATTTGCCATCACACAATATTTTAATAATTTCCGATTAACTGGACTACAAATTATCCGTTGGCTATAATCATACGAAAAAATTATTCGCGACTAAAATGGCACTTCACACAAGCTGGCATTGCTTTCTACATATAATACAGTAATATCAAATTTAGACTCTCTTAGTCTTAGCTCTACATTTCTTCCAATTTCAACTTTTTGGTATTTTGCAATCTATAATAGACTGATCATCAATTGATGGACCTGTTTTAATCCGAATGAATCCAAGCCGTGATATTATCTAGTACTGATATTCATGATTTCTTTTTTCTTAATTATTACCGGTAAATGTTAAATAATCAATCTGAATGCAAATTAGCGTGGATAAAGCGATAAGAAATTTGATATTTTCTGACAATATGCACGTTACAAACCGTTACGTTAATTGTAATGATTTATATGATAGGATGGAGTATGTCAGCAGATGAAGGACAAGAAGAATATGAAGAGGTTCAAGCTGATTTAAGAAAAAAAGAAGAAGAGGTAAATATGACCAGATGAACATTATCTCAAAACATAGGCTGAATACTGGGCCCAAGAACCTTTTCCTTGTTTTCAGTTTAACAAAAAAAAATATAGATTGTATACAATGGATAGAGATTAGGGATGAGTTATCTTTCATAAGTTGACAGGGGGGTTGGATGGTCGAATGGTTTGCGTATGTGCGTTGTATCATAAGGTCTGTCATTGAGTCAACTGGCCTGGTTTCGATTCCCTGGTTGTATGTGACAAGGGGTAGGGTCGCCTGTCATGGGTTTTCTCTGGGTCTTCCGGTTTCCTCCCACTGCTAAAGATCAAAATGTGCAAGTGAATTATTGAAATAAAATTGAACCATATGTTAGTCGCGAAATGGCCTAGTTTGTGTGGACTGGACATTAAACCCCATCTCTCTCTCTCTCCCCCCCTCTCTCTCTCTCTCTCTTGACAGGCAATTAGAATAAAAGAAATAAGAGTGGCCACAATGTACATTAGAAATTTAGAATAGAATGATTTTAATCATTTTGAACCAGCAAGCTTTTTGCTTTAAAGCTTGGGAGCACTGTGACAATGAGTTCAACTGTTCATAGTGGATTATTTTAAACCTTGCTCTCGTGGGTGTACTAAAAACCCCTGTCTGTAGTAAAGAAGAATTTGTAATGATATAATTCCAAGTTTTGATGATAATAAATTACAGAGAGAAAGACAGAATACACCAGTACAAGATATGGAATCTGGTATCATACGTACACCGGGTAGAAGTTTTTTTAGTGGTATATTATCAACAGTATTCTTACAGGCGTTTATCATGACTTTTATAGCTGAATGGGGTGATAGATCACAAATAACTACTATTATACTAGGAGCTAGAGAGGTATGCTTAAAAACAACTTTAAAATATTTCAAGTCTTCAAGTTTCTGAAGTCTGTTTTGAGAAGTGAAACAATCAGGGCATTGTGATTTTTGAATATCAGCTTAGACTTCCTTTTGAGGGTGGCACTTTCAGGGTAGACATGGAAAATGTACCTAGTTCCTTGGATGGGAAGGAAAACCAAGGTCCATCACTGTACACATTCTCCTTTTTCACACTGAGACATAAAAGCCCATTCAATTGAGAAAAAAAGTACTGAACCTCCTGGCACACTCCATGACAAAAATTAAGAATAACAGTTGTCAGGATCAAAAAAGGTTCTGTTTTCCTTAAGATGGTTACGGCAATGTCATAGATATTTTACAGGGTTTAGGTGAACAATGACCGAATTTATCTTGCCCCCTCTAATAGATGATTTAATTGATGATTCTTGAATAATGCCAACTTTTATTTGTTTTTTAGGATGTATATGGTGTAATATTAGGTGGTATTTTAGGCCATTTCTTATGCACTGGTTTAGCTGTTGTTGGAGGAAGAATGGTTGCTCAAAAAATCTCTGTTAGGACAGGTATGTTTTTATTTTTAATCAAAAAACATTCACTATATATAGTAGATAAAAAACATAAAACAGCATTCACTATATAGTAGATAGAAAAAATAAAACAGCATTCACTATATAGTAGATAGAAAACATAAAACAGCATTCACTATATAGTAGATAAAAAACATAAAACTCAACAAAGATTAATCTTCTGGTTAGTGGTTTATAAAATTATATTTAAAAAAAATGTTCATTAAAAAATATTTCATCTTTAATCCCTAACGGAAATAAATATAATATTATTTCTCTTTTTTTTTCAGTCACATTAATAGGAGGTGTTGTTTTCCTTATCTTTGCTTTATCGGCATTTGTGATTGGTCCTGGTGAATAACACCTATATTTATAGATATATTAATCATGGTATAAGTGTATTAAATGTATATAATCTACACTGGACTAGATTGCCTCAATTTTGTATGACACTTTCATAATGGCCAGTTTTTTAAGGAAAGCTTTATTGTACCATACCTTTATGGAAAGTAATTTAGGATTAAAGGGCCATGAGACTATAAGCTAGCTATCTCCAAAATGGATTAAATTGAAAGTCTATAGTGTTCCTTCTATTGTGTTACAATACTGAGAAGTAAATGATATATTCATAATCCTATACCATAATTTGTAGAATTCCTTTGTTTATATCTAGAAATGGGTTAAAGGCAGAAGACTTCTGGTAGTATTTTGGTATTTGTAGATAATTTTTAGCAAGTGCTTACTGGCGAAGAATTCCAGTTATGTGATGTTTACCAAATAGCTATTTATATGGTGATATCTCAACAAGTAACTAATTTCTACAATTTTAGCAAATTATCCCTTTAAAGGTAAAGATAAAACGGTTTGAATCCATGTATATTGGACCTCCAGCCTTCTAATCCTTTAATACCATAGAAAGTTTTAAGTAGATTCTGTTTTAATAATAATTAGAATGTAGGGTTAGAGACTGATGTAACAAATATTTCCTCACACAATTGTGAATTTATTTTTCAAATATGTCCTACTCTCAAATCATTTTTCAAAGTTTAAATTGAATGATGTTTTGTTGAAAACACTAATACATGGATTTTTCTATAGTTTCTGTAGTCTTATTTGAATGGCAGTCTGAAAAACACTCTGAATGTAGTGTTATATGAATGGCCGTCAGAAACACGATCTGGAATTAATGGGTTATATCCAATATTGAAGTTTTATTTATATTAGATTTCATAGTTTACAATAAAATAGAATAAAAGGTGACCTAGACCTTGATGTTATATCTCTTACATTTAGGATATGTATTTAAACTTGACAATTCACTGCCCAACAAAACACTAAATAAAAAACAATAGAACACTTGAATAAAATGTCAGGGTGAATGACAATGTCCTTTATTCTAGTATAACAAGACAATATAATAATACCTGAAATAAAAGGTAATATAGAACAATGTATGATGAATTTATTTTTTTATTTTTACTAAATGTATATGATAATAATCTGTATTATAATTATGGAGGAATATATAAAATATGGTAATAAATGTGGTTATGGAGTAGTATGTGTTAATATGTTGAAAATCATATGTATAATATTGTTTTCTTAAGAAAAGTATTACGGTGAAAGCAGCGACCCCAGATTTCCCAGGGTAAAGTATTGGTTATGTTGATTGGTTAATCATCTTATTTTCAGAATTACATCTCAAAATATAAATTTACTCCTCAAACATTTGACTCGATGAAGATATTGTTGGTATGTCACTTGTAGTCATGTTTTCTACAGAAACAAATATAGGGTCCAGTAATCATGGTTCAATAATTATACACACATTAAAACTTTCATATTGTTACATTTGATAAATTAACCAGCTATATTCACTATATCTAACAGTTCTATTCACTAAACTTTCATATTGTTGTATTTGATAAAGAGAAAGAGATTAACCAGCTTTATTCACTAAACTTATGAGATGACCCTTGACATAGATCTGTAATTGAATATTATACTGCTGAGCATATATGACTATTGTTTTAAAATTATTTGACAAGTGAACAATTTGTTATTATAATGATTTCATCCTCAATTAACTTACACTTTAAATATATATGATGAATGAGTATGTGTGAATATGTTTTATATGTATAAACAAAGTATAACTTATACAAATAAATCATAATGAATGTGTTTCCTTTAGAGATGTATCGGTTTAATTTTAAATAAATTTATTCTTGTATGAGGGGGAACAAAATACACATAATTTTCATGTATGGAATTACACAAATGCAAGTGGATATGTTGTTTACATTTTGTATGTATGTGTTAAGAGTTTATATGTGTGTTTTTTGTATTATATACATATACCTTATATTAGAATGTTCACATGAAACGTCATTAGAATAAACAATTTAAACAGTTAATTTAACATACAATCAGTAATGAAGTAATTACTTTCATGTCTCAATACTATACATTATTTAGGCTATTAATGATGTTAGATTTATTTCTCCTCACCGCATCACATCAGTTTAATATTGGCGGTGACACAGTTGACTTTAACTTCACACAACCCACAATATATCCTATTCCATGTGGGAATTTATATTAGTCAGATAAAGGGATAGGAAGATGGAATTTATAATTTTGCCCATCATGATATTTATTCATGTTTATAATCAAAACTATAGTTTAGAATGACAAAGAGTACTGTAAGTAGGTTTATTTATATTTAGCATCAGTTGTCAGGCTAGATAATTTAATTAAAACATTAAATAATGCAAATTGTATCCTGTATTTTTAGATTTAAATAATTAACATTTGTACATAAATTAATTGTTTATCTAGTTTCAGAAATTACCTCTCTATATGTATAAATATAGATATTGATGTAAATAAATGTGAAGTATTTATAGATTATATTATTGGCGTTATATTTTATTTTCACATTATTATATTACATAAAAACACGTTTTATTTCTATATACAACAGGTGAAAGATTGTTTATTACATACTGACAGCTAGGTCAATAGTAGATAAAACTACTATGGATTATTGTGACTGAAATTAAATTACAAATAAAATTTGTCCCCAATTCCAAATGGCTTTTAATTAGTTTATTTTAGATTAGTTTTTAGGAAATACATCAAATGCTTTTGTTAATAACATTTGTATTGTAATTTGTTTTTAAAACAAGACTTTGTTGAGTTAAATACAATCTGATTAAAACACAGATCCTATTTCGTTTCATTTTTTATAGTTCAAAATTTCCTTTTACTTGTCTGTACTACACTAGGATCTGGAAGAGATGTTATATAAACGGCGTTCTGGATTAGCCAACAAAACCATCTGTTACAGCGACTTTTTGGCGTGCGATGCATGGAACTGTGGGTAAACAACTAGAAACGTCAACACTGATTGATTAATAAATGTCTGACGTCATAGGGTCAAAAGCCGTTCATTCGACCTATTGGCGCAACCTTTACTACAACCGGTCAGATCTTCATGTAGTGTAGGCCATCAAAATTATAAAAAAATGAAACGAAATATAGATCTGTATTTTAATCAGATTGAGTTAAATACAAATATTGTAAATATATTAAATTCTTGAATTTCGGTCTTTCATTTAAAGGCACTACAAGCCATATTGTTGACATACATATCAAAATATAAAAGTATGTACAAATTTACATAATCTAGATATTATGTAATTAAGCATTACAAATATAAAACACCCCCACGAAGAATGGTCTGGCTTGTAAGAAAATCACAGAAAATTATTACTATTTTTGGTACATTTGTCTAAAGACAGGTTAAAAATGGTGGTATGAAATTAATAGAAACAAAAGTCAACTTAAGAAGTCCATAGAGTTATTATTGATTGGTCAGAATAAATTTTTGGACCAAAATACTTTAAATAAAAGTACTTTTGATTCTATATGTATAATTAACCTTTAGTCAAGCCTGTTGGGTAATCGGATGGTTAGGTTTACAGCAATCAAGTCAAATCTGTTAGTGTATTTATTATTATAGACCTACTGTTAAAATGTATACAGCTAAAATACACTTGTCTGCAATATCACCTGAGAGGAAGCCGAGGTAAAATAAAGTTGGTTTAAAATATGCAACCGTTACTATGTACATGGTTATAATTTAAAAACAACTCTACTATAAAATATGAATTTATTATATCTAAGTATGTTTCTTGTGGGGAGGGGAGGGGGGGATTTTCATAAAGATCTAGGTTGTAAATTTTGTACATTCCAAAACTATGTCAATTTATATCTTTGGTGTAAAATACCCCTGTGAATTATGTAAGAATGCTTAAAGTATTAAATCATTCAAGTTTTTATACAAGTAGTCAACTTCTTTAATGTTTTTGGTTGTTATTGTTTAATACATTCATGCATTTATATTCCCCCTAAATCCATGTTTGTTTTGTGAGTTTTATATGGGCTATACTATATACCGAGAAAACACCGGAAACAAACTGAAAACACCGGAAAACTACCGGAAAACATGTTAATCTGAATACCGGAAAAAACTAAATACCGGAAAACACACTCAATACCAGAAAACACCCTAAATAGGTAAAACACCGAAAAAACCTTACCCTAGCCTGTTCCTCTGGAAAACACTGGAAAAACCTAACCCTAATCCTACCCCCCATCCCCCGCACATAGAGGACCAGGCTTCGAGTTACCTATTTAGTTTGTTTTCCGGTTTTTGTGTTTTTCCGGTGTTTTCCGGTATTCATTATAACATGGCGCTTTTTCGGTGTTTTCCGGTATATAGTATTTATATGCCCACATTTTGGGCTATACTATATACCGAAAAACTACCAGAAAACACCATCTTATACTGACTACTGAAAAACGACAATACTATATACCGGAAAACACCATGTTATACTGAATACCGGAAAGCACCGGAAAACCACTAAATACTGGAAAACACACTAAATATAGGAAAATACCCTAAATAGGTAATCCGGAGACTGGCACCCTAAATAGGTAATCCGAAGCCTGGTCCTCTGTGTGCATGGGTTAGTGTTAGGGTTTGTTTCCGGTTTATAGTATAGCCCTTCTCCGGGTTACCTATTTAGGGTGTTTTCTGGTATTTAGTGTGTTTTCCGGTATTTAGTGTTTTTCCGGTGTTTTCCGATATTCATTATAACATGGTGTTTTCTGGTTGTTTTGCGGTGTTTTTCGGTATTTTCCGGTATATAGAATAGCCCCCGGAAAACACCGGAAAAACCCTAAATACCGGAAAACACTCTAAATACCCCCACTCCCCACCATGCCGACCCCTCCACCCTGAACCACTGACAAGGAAATGTCACACTAGTATTTCTCGGGAACTTTCTTGGCCAACATGGGATCAAACCTTATTGATCCGCAGCCTTACTCACTGAGTCACCGTGGCTCCGGAAACTCAAACTGACACGTACGCCCCACATCCCACTATGTCTTGTGTTATATAGAAAAACATCAAAATGGCATAATTTAGTAGTAACCTCATGTTGTGTATAGAAATCATCTTTGCGAAGAAATACTGAATGGTTCTCGAAATCTGGTCCAGAAACGACCCCCACCACATCGATAAAACGAGCCTTATGCACAAGAAGAAAAACAAATTAAATTGTCCCCCCCCCAAAAAAAAAATGTACCTATCCCCAACAATCACACGCCATTATATGAAAAAAAAAATCAAGAAGTATTTCGTAATGACATACCATAACTAAATTCAATCCACTTCCCTGTAATAACTCAGACGATAACTGTCCTTACAGTCCCACCCCCACCAATTAAATGAAGAATGGATAGAAGTTATTTCTAAATCAATTGCCAATTTCGTTATCTGTTCTGTCTGTACCTTTCCTTCGTGAATGTGTGAATCTATAATGAAAACACACACTAAAAAAACACATGTATATACTTTAAACCTTCTGCTTAATCTGGCGTTTTCAAAATGAAATTTTATCTTGTAAAATGTTTAGAATTCAAATACATCACGATACATTCACAAATAACAACACGGGATTCTTCAATTCTTTAAAAATGTTAAAAGTGAGTATTTACATTGTAATCAAAGCTTTTTTTCCTGTCGTTTTCAGATTTTCATATACTCTTGTGTACCGTTTCACTTAAATAAAAATCATTTGACCATGTTTGACAAAAAACACCGACCTTGATAATAAGGAATCTGTGAAATTGTATAGACGAATACACGTTATTTTAATCCGCATCGGGTCTATTGTCGGCTTTTCATCTAGATATTACAAGAAACAGACAGAACGTCGACACTGTCGACAAGAATTTTGCTGCGTATGGTACTTTTCTCAGTATGGCTTCTTCCAACTTTTACATAAAACATACGAAAAAAAAAATGCACTTATATCATTTTGTGGAAGCAAGGTTTAAACTAGTCAACCAGACGTCCATTTCACAGACGTTATTCGTACTAATTCACGATGAATACAAGATCAACTTCACTCTTATCGAAAAAAGGACAAGGTTAGTTATGTTATAATTAATAAGCAAATCAAATTTTGATGCCAATTAATCGACAACAACAAAAGTTCACGGTAATCAATTATGAATTAAATATTAAATACGTTAAATATTATAATAATATAAAACTACCATTAAATTGTTATTATATAAAACTACAATTAAATTGTTATTATATAAAACTACAATTAAATTGTTATTATATACAACTACAATTAAATTGTTATTATATACAACTGTAGTTAATTTATTGTTATATACAACATTAGTTAAACATCAACAACATTAGTTAAACTTCAAAACTTCATCAAATCAAAAATATCTCATGGCAAGTTCAACACTTTTTAATTGAAGGATTTATTATTATTATTATTATGTATCGTCAACAATATTAGCATCTATTAGGCGTATTTATGTTAAACATATAACTTACAACGACGTTTTTAATTGCAGTAACGAGTCCTAAATATGCCATTGTTGCTTTTCGAGAGTCATTGACATGTGCCATCTATAATATACAAAATGTGGACAAACCCAGGAAAAAAGTAAGTGGTGCGACAATAAAAGTAGAAACCAATGTTTGTTTAAGAAAAGGGACTATAGTTTCTACAGCTGGTAAGTTTTCATTATTTTTACGCTGATTAATGGCCTACAGAGACTCAATCATCTACAACATCGGCGACAGATCGATAACGGGCCGATGGTTTGTGTGCTACTTTATGAAAAGACTTGAAACGGGGTTTAACGTCCTGTACTATTCCTCTCCGACTGGGCGAATGAACTGTGCCATATAGTGTGCTATAAGGGAATTTTTGCACTATGGCCTACTCTTACACCGAATTCCACCTGTCGTCAAGGGGTCTTTTACGTGCACGCAAATGTGAACAACTTCTATATAAATATATAATAATAGTCCTCTCAAATTTAAAAATGCAGATGAACCAAGTGTTTATATTTATTTTTATATCTTTACAGATGATTTTGAAATGTTATTGGTCAGATTACAGAAGGTTAATATTAGTTCATTTTTTGGGATATCCAAAAGAAAAATAGGTAATAATTAATTGTTTATTTATTGTGTTCACTCCTGTCCAGGCGAAGATGCAACAAAATGCCTGATTGTCGCATATGGTTGGGGTTATATTGAATTAAATATCTTGCCAATTATCAAGTATTCTGTAAAATCTTGTAATATAAGAATTAATTCTGTTTACCAAGCGATTAGAATTAAAGTAGACATTAACTTTTCAGGTAACCACAACATAGCGGCCGACAAGACACAAACGCGAAACGTATCTATAAAACGTTCAACAGTAACACAATCTACAAAGAGGCGTAGGACAGATGAAAACTGTATCACTTGCAGTGACGGACCCAGAAATCATCCCCCCAGAAGTACTCATTCCGAAATACTTTTCAAGGACGTACAACATCCACACACCACAAACCATCTTATATCACCAGAGTACTTACAATTACATGGTGGTTATCTTTTATCCCAAGATGATTCATCTACTAGCGACATACAAATTCCCCCACCATCAACACATGACATAGCAACGCCAGAAGGGTCGTTTAGTGGAGCAGTATCTTCATCGTCACCATTGAAAATAAGCCCATCAAAAATAACAACAAACACCACATCTCCTGATTCATCAAGTGTTTATATTTTATCCCAAGATGATTCATCTACTAGCGACTTACAAATTCCCCCACCATCACCACATGACATAGCAACACCAGAAGGGTCGTTTAGTGGAGCAGTATCTTCATCGTCACCACTGAAAATAAGCCCATCAAAAATAACAACAAACACCTCAGCTCCTGATTCATCAAGTAGTTATCTTTTATCCCAAGATGATTCATCTGCTAACGACATACAAATTCCCCCACCATCACCACATGACATACCAACACCAGAAGGGTCATTTAGTGGAACAGTATCTTCTAGTCAGTTGTCAATATTTGATATTTTACCCGACGGATCATTTTCAGAAGACGATATCCTCTCAAAAGACAACAATTATGATAGTTTCCCTTCATCGACACATGATGTAGCGACACCAGAATGGCCGTTTAATGCAGTAGAGTTATTATCAACGATCTCTCCATCACCACAGACTGTAAGTACACCAATCAGCACAAGTAGCTATTGTGTATCACCAGATGAATCATCTTCTAGCAACCTACAGAACTCTCCACCATTACCTCACGATATAGCAACACAAGAAGGGTCATTTTGTGAAACAGTATCTCCTGATCCACGTAAATCTCGATCCAGGGAGTCGCCAAGTCCTCTTTCATTATCTGATATTACGACACCCGATGGATTATTTTCAGATGACATTTCCACTCCAACAGACAAGAATTATGACATCCACCAGCAACTTAGTATCATTAAACCTATCAAATACACATCGCAAAACGAATTGCTTCGTTTAGAGTATCCGACACCGTGTACAGAAAATAATAACGAAGATGCAACAGACCCTCTTTATGATTTACCACCTCTTCTAGTCCGACAATTGAATACGATGATTGAATCGGCTAATACACACACGCTGTTTACCCCGTCGTCCGCGACCACCATATTACAAGGAATACCAAGTAAATCATCTGCAGTACCAACCATTCCACTGTTACCACACAACAACCTAACCACCATAGAACATCAGAGTTCCGCATCATCATGTAAATCATCTGCAGTACCAACCATTCCACTGTTACCACACAACAGCCTAACTACCATAGAATATCAGAGTTCCGCAGTACCATGTAAAGCCAGACCTAACAATGTACCTATTAC